TCCATCATCCACGTAAAAGCCTCTTTGGATGAAATGGATGGTGTCCTTGCTGAACCTTTCTCTGCCTTGTGCAGCGAGATGTTTAAGTCCAAAGTTGCAGCATCCAGGGGACGAAGCTGCCCCAAAGAGGTGCACTTTCATCCTATACACTGATGGCTTGGAGTTCAGATCACCTTTGTCCCACCAGAGGAATCTTAGGTAGTCTTGATGTTCCTTGATGACGTGGAACTGATGGAACATCCTCTCGACATCACACATTATGGCTATAGGACCCTTTCTGAATCGGCATAACACTCCGACTAGTGCATTGGTAAGATCTGGTCCAGTCAAAAGGTGCTCGTTGAGAGATGTTTCTTTAAAACGGGCTGAACCATCAAAAACGACACGAATTTTTTCAGGCTTGTGGGGGTGGTACACCCCGTGGTGTGGGATGTACCAAGCTGCCTTGTTATCGAGCTCTTGATGTGGGACCTTTTCTGCGTCTCCACAGGAAATAATATCATCCATGAACTTGACGTAGTCCTTGTAGTATTTCTCATCTTTTCTGAGATGACGTTCTAATGAAGATAGTCTGTGTTCTGCGTATTGTTTGTTGTTGGGCAGATTGGGATTGTCTGTTTTGAATGGAAGTGGGAGTTCAAAGTGGCCGTCTTCCTTGTGCCGTATACCTTTGTTTACCTTTGACATGAACAGTATGTCTTCCTGGGAGACTGGATTGTCATCCGTTGTGTGCTCAGCAAAATCCGATTCCAGAGCCTTTATCACGTCCAGTGGAGTGACTTCTTTCACTTGAGTTTTGCATACAAAGTGCACTACTTGTTTGAGTTCAACTGATTGTAGCACTGCTGGATTTACTTCCCGCACAATGACTCTGTGACTGGTGCCGATAGCATCACTCTGATTGTGTACTTGATACGAACAACCAACAATGCTCCATCCAAGGTCCGTGAGTTGTGCATAGGGTTGGTTTTCTGAGCCTGCCAGGACTTCTCTTGGTAGAAGAGCTTGTTGGCAGTTATAGCCAATGAGTAAGCCGACTTCACATTCCAACAAAGGAGGCAACTTATTTGCCAGCTTTTCGAGGTGGGGCCACTTTAAGGCTGTCTCAGACGTCGGAATGTGCAACTTGTTTGCTGGGATAAACTCTCTTGTGAAGACTGGCGGTAATGCAATCTTCTGCTTGCTTTGATAGCCTCTTACTTGAAGGTTTAACAGCTTTTCACATGGTATGACTGTGATCTTAGCAGACATTGTTGATAGCCGTAAACTGGCCTTGCTTTTGTCTGTGTCGAGGTCTTGGGCAACTTCATCCAAGATGAAAGACGTATCGCTCTGTGAGTCGAGGAGCGCATACACCAGCACTTCTTGATCTGGGTTCTTTGTAGATGAAACCCAGACAGGCAATATAGAGGACGTCAAGGTACTTGGGGTTTCTTGAGCAACCCTATTGGTCGTTGCAGTTACAAGGTTGTTTTTGTCATTAGTATCAGCCTTTTCTTGAGACTGTACCTTTCCTTGAGTGTCTTCCTTAACTTGAGAATCACTGTCAGTCTTCACTAGAGCAGTCTTTTTACGATCTGTAAACTTGTCATCGTGCAAGCATGTCGGATGTCTCTTTTGACACTTATCACATGTGCTTCTTTTCTCACACTTCTTTGAGTGATGTCCTGTTCTTAAACATCCAAAACAAAGCTTTTCTGTTTGAACAAACTTGACACGATCTTGAACTGTTTTTTCTGCGAACTTGCGGCATTTGTCGAGAGTGTGACCAGTTCTTTTACAAAATGTGCATGATGTGGCACTGTGACTTAAGTTACTTGTGTTTGTTGTTAGAGTTTTGGCTTGAATGACTTGGTTTCTTAGGTGTTTGGTTTTATCCGTTTCCAAACCTTTGAGTGCTTGTATTGAGGTTATGGGATCACATGCTAAGTCTGCTTCAGTAGACACGAATTCCACAAATGTATGGAAAGATGGGTAATCTTCACTTGTTTGTCTCGTCTCCTTTGCTATGCGGTTCCATCTTGACACAAGCCAATCTGGTAATTTCAACAGGATCCTTTGACTCTCCATACAATCATTTAGAACTTCCAGTGTTTTGATGTGTGGCATTGCAGCTTCGCAGCTTTTAAGGAAGTCTGCAAATTCTCTTAACTCACATCCATCTTTGGAGGCTATTTTAGGCCAGCTGTGAAGCTTATCCCTGAAACATTTCCCGATGGTGAATGGGTCTCCAAACCGTTTTCCAAGCAATTGCCAAGCTGAATCGTATGCTTCGTCGGTGCCTAGTAGGAGAAATCCTTCAACTGCCTTTTTCGCAGCTCCACCGAGGTACTTTCTGAGGTAGTAGAGTCTCTCATTTCTGGGAATGTTCTTTCTTTCGATTAAGGTTTCAAATGACAACTGCCAGTCTTTAAACTTTAAGGGGTCTCCAGTGAACAATGCGGGTTCCGGAGTTGGGAGACGATTAGCACTTATTGCTTCTGCTAATATGCTAACTAAATCAGAGTTCTGCTGCAGTTGCGTTACAGCTGTAGGGACTGGCGTTGCTTGAGGAATGAATGGTGAACTTGAGGGGTTGAGTACTTGACTTGTTGTATTTGTGAGTGGAATGAATGCAGGGCTTGTAGCATTGAAAGCTGCTGCTGCTGCACGTGGAGCTTGAAACGGAGTGAATGGTGTGATGGGGATTGCTTGAGGTTCACTTGCCAGTTTGTTGCTACAGGGCAAACTGCGACTTTCATAGTTGTCTTCAGCCTGATCATAAATCTTTACTCTGGCTTTGGCAGCATTCAGCTTTTTTATCTCTTCCAACGTTCAAGTTTCCTGCGCTGCTCTTCCATAGCTTGTTGTCTCACCAGATTTTCAACTTCAAGTTTTCGGAGTTCACTTGCTTGTTTCTCTTGTTCCTCCATAACTGCTAGTATTTCTTCAGATGCCGCTGCCTCAGCCGCCGCTTCCACTCTTTTGACTGACTGTGCACATGAGAGAACAGAGTTAGGATTCGACCATGATTTGGATTTAGATTTTGACTCGTCTGCATCTAGACATGACCCCACATCTGGCCATGACTCTTTGTTTTCTTCGTAATGTCCTTTTAGCCAGTTTTCAGCTTTCCGGATAATGAAAGTGACGTACATGCATCCACCTTGCATCTCATATCTGGATCAGGAGCTTGTATTTGACGGACTTCATTGTAAATGGCTTGTACGTCTCGGTAAGTAATGGTCACGTTGTTTATCAACTCAGTCAACTCACTCTCTGAGGCTGTATCGGTCAGTAGTACTCTGCCTAATCTTGCTTCGTATCTCCATTTTTCATAAGCAATCTTGTATCTGCGCTTTACAGCTTTGATCTTATTGTCTTGGAGCTCCTTTCCTTTTTCAGTTAGCGTTCTTATTCTTTCACTCTTGCGAATCTTTGCTTCGGCTTGACTACTTAGTTCAGCACAGTCTCTTTCTTTGTCAGTCATTTTGTGTGTCAAGTTAAATGTTATCTGTTAACTGTAGTGCTTTAGGATTACTTTGTATACAACTTTGATTTAATTGAATTAATTTCTTAATGTAGGAACTGTTTTTAACTTAAATAACTTGCATGAACTTTCATTACAATTTTAACTCTAGACAAACTTCAATAATTAGAACAAAAAATATAACCACAAAATATACACAGTAGACATTAAGTGTCCTTCAAGCAGATGTGCCGCGAAATAACTTAAGTGAAGTTTAACTTGGCTTAAACCACTCTTATTTCCTTATAGCACAGTCTTGTTCTTATTTTTAACTTCACTTCATTTAAATAACTTATGTTGACGGAGCTCTGTTGCTGGGGTGCGAAGAGGTTGTGTAATGGCGCCGCCTTGTGGTGCACCTCGGACCGCGACCCACCGCGCTGCCGTCTACTTGACTCGAGCTTCTCACCGGCGCTGGGCTGGGCGAGTTTTCACTGTAGCTCCTCAATGACAACACTGCACACGGTTCTCGAGTACTGGCGCATTTATTAGCCTTAACAAATGCCGTAAAACGCCGTGAAAACTACAGGACACATAAAACATATAATTAGACACTCCAGATTTGTTTGCTAACACAGAAGTACCGATGAAATTAGCTACCTCGTGGCCGCCTGTCACATCGGAGATCTTTAAGAAAAGGAAATTTGCACGATTGGCGCACTTTATATCCGTGCACAAAATACATACATAAAATCAATAAATTTCGTAACAACAATCGCAAGAAATATAAAACAAAAGATACCTCGTGCAGCCGGTTAGCTGCCGTAGCTGCCGAAATCGTGGCTCTCGCTCTAATGGTCTTTAGCATAAGAGGGCGTATGCGATCTACCTGTGGCCCGATATCAATTTCTCAAACTCTCGCGACAATTGCGGTACCAAACCAAATGAAATTAATACAGTCGTATATTTATATAAAGTAAAACACAATTTTCCTGTATAAATTATAATCATTTTTAAACAAAATTTAACATAATAATTTTAACTTATAATTTTCTTAAATCAAAATGAACTTGTTTTACATAATGCATTTTAATGACACTTACAGTTAAAGTAGGGTGACCAGACATCCCTTTTTACGCGAGACAGTCCAAATTTTGAGCTCTGTGTCCCCTGTCACAGCAGATTTATCCCAAACCATTGATTTGTCCCAGTTTTGTACAAGAAATGTCCCATTTTTTGACCAATTTGATACTTGCCAACAGTAAAGACAGGTACACATTGTCATCTGTTTAGGTAAAATATAGAAAAGCTGATTAAAAATGACCAAAACACAAGGAAAATATGACAATTCTGACTTACAGGTTAGTCATGAATGAACCAAGCGCAAAAATTTCACAGTTTTATTATTACCAACCACCCCAAACCAAAAAAAATCTGGTCACTCTAAGTTAAGGTCATTAGTACGTATAGTTAAGTTTAGAATAACTCTGTAGAAATGAATGTAAGTCCATATAATGTCTCCAAACTTGTGCATATTTTTGTGTAACCCTACTTTCATAATCCCGTTCCAGTTGTCTCCCGTGGACACCCGGAACAGCGTGAGGAAGGCCATGCCGAAATTCTCAAAGGTGGCGTGTCTGCTCAGCCCCTCGCACGGGTTTTGCTCGCTGCACTCTGTAGGAATAAACAAAACAATGAGAACGAACGTAGTGTCAGGGATAAAATGTGGGAGGAATGTAAACAAAGTCATGGAATATGTACATAGAGCTGCGTGCTACGGGCTTTTGTGTATGACATTAAGAGGAGAGAGATTCGGGGCTAGTGTGACAGACCGTCCCCAAGATGGTTTATGACATCCTAACAGGCAAAAGCGCATGTCTTTAAGTGTTCTATGGAAGCCACTAAGGACAACAAGAACAGTCTTTGGTTATTTTTAGCGTTTGATTCTATTTTTACCACACGAGAGGCAAAAGTCTGTCAAACTAACAATGTTGTTAGGTTTTGAGTCCAGGAGAGATCACTCAATTACGGAACCACGCATGGGTGACGACTAAAACCTCTTCAGGCATGTTTTTGCATAATTCAATTCAATTCAATCCAATCTTTATTAAGAACACGTAATATCTGGTTCATAGTATTAAAAGAAAATTGTAAGAATAAAGAAATAATAATAATACAGTGCATGTTATAATGTAAACAAACAAGACCTCCAGTGTCTCCACAGCTTAGAGGTGAATCTTGACAGAGCTCCTCACAGGACTAGAGCTTCAATGATTTGATTACTCAGATTCATGGCTCTACACATATGTTTTTTTCCGGGCTATTGGGTGCGCTCTTAAGCCTCCAAACCCATCAAAAAGAATGCGCGCAATCCAGAGCGCCCTATAAAAGAATCCACTCAGGTGTCCCTTCACAACTTCAGTAAACTACAAAGCCGCACCACCCGCAGCGCACGCAAACACACACGGAGCAGACAGCGACACCCACAGCCACACTCATCACTCCACACAGATGAGGAACGGAACGGAGGAACGAACTGAAAAAGCGAGTGCAATGTGCCACTCTGAGCCACAACTGAACAACTGAGTCACTGCGAACTCGCCGACAATCCAGAGGTCCCAGACAGCACCCTCCCTACACGCCACAACTGAACAAAGCCCAGAGTCACCGTGAACGCGCCAAACAAAGTCCCACTGACCCATCAAACTGTTGTGTTTCCTTTAAAGTCCGGTGCAGTTTATTTGTGAAAAAAGTTCAAAAATAGACCATTTAATGACAGTGTGCCTTATAATCCAGAGCGCCTAATAGTGTGGAAAATACGGTAAGTGAATAAATACAACATCTGAACAGTAGACAGCACAGGGTCTCACACCACAATCTACAAACATTTCACTGGCGCTACAGAACCTTCAGTAATATTCTCGTTATAGAGTCGTTATAGGCCACTGTCAAACTCTGCAAACTCTTTTTTTCTTGTAGTTGCGCCAAAGATGCGCAGTATACAACGGCGAGCGTAATATCCCTTTTTCTAAATCAAATTAACAAATTGCCCAGATATTTTGATAAATGATGAGATAATTAAAATGTTACAAAATGTACTTACTTGGGTGTCACCTTAGATTCAACTTTTTACTTTTAAAAATCACACAAAAACTCTCTCAACTTTAACCTCTCAAATTTCAGACATATACTGACCATGGAGGCCTCGCACATGTATTTTAACTCCATGATCATGTCACGTTTGTTGCACTGTATGACGAGCTGAACAGCCTTGAAACCTGTTGAATAATTTTACAAATGTGCGGTTAAGATTCATGATAAGAAACCCTGACTGTATCACCACTGTCCTCTTCTTGCAAAGTACAGTTTATTAATTTTTTGAAAATCTAATGATACATGCAAATATTTTTTTGCTTTTCAAAATCCTCTGAAGGGTTTCGTCTCATTGAGCTCTGAAAAAACATCTCGAGTAACACACTCATCCTCTAGTGGAGAGAGCACTGTCCCCAAATGTAAGACCACACTCCCCAAATCCTCTTTTTCCTCTGTTGCTGTGACTCACTGGAATAACTTGCCAACAGAGATTCTAACTTGCACATGTTTTCAAATGTTTGCATGTGTGACAAAGAAGTGGCTGATCTCTAAACAAGTTTGTACATATTACGGATGAGTGTGATTTGAAAAATATGTTAGGCCTTGATACAGGGTGGAAGGGGTTCATGTATGTTGTTTTTAGAATAATATTTCAACACTATAACTCTAGTAATATCTCTAGTTTTAATTTATTTTTGGCCACTACACTGAATCTGTACTTTCTACCAACCTGCTCAGGGACTACAGGGGTAAATTAACATCCATGCTATAACCTGGTAGAGCAACTTTCCTATGACTTGTCTTGGTTAATATATTGTTGGGCACTGTCCCTGTACAAATAAAAGCATAGTACACCATACCATACCCTTAATGTTCAGTAATGTCCTTAATCTTCAGTTTATCAAGTTTTCATCTACTACAACAAGTAATTAAAATGTCTGTACTTGATTTATTTCCTTATACGTTGAGCAAAATGAGACCCCAGTGCGCTGTCTGTGTCCAATTACAAAGCATTACAAAGCGTTTTATTGTCCGAGAATCAGGAGGTCAGCATGATAGTTGTTTAGCTTTATCGTGACCACAAAATAAAGCATCCGAATTATTCATCCTGACGAGTTCATGAGCGCTTTCCAAAACTTTCAGACACCAGACCAGAGTCGCTTTAGAGGCACACAGCACGCGACAGATGTATTTTGACCTCAAGAGCTGCTTATACAACAACATTTTGCACAAATACATGGTAAGAAATCAGTTTAAGGCTTTTAAATCTACTTCGTCCTCATTGTGATCAGGCTGTGATGTCAAAACGGGTGGACAATGGGACAGAGGGGTCAAGAAACATGGTCTGGTTCGGGTTTCATCATGGTTTAGTCCTGATGTACGCTTGGTTTGGTCCTGGTCTAGTCTCTATTCTGTTATGACCCTACTTGTAATGACCACACTGAACCCTTTTCTGCCTTTTCAGCGTATTTATATATATATATATGTGTGTGTGTGTGTGCGTGTGTACTTGTGTATTTGTGTTGCTTTCTCAGACTGACCCAGTTTGCCAAACAGCTCCACTCCCAGCGCAGCGTAGATGAAGAACAGCAGCATGAAGAGAAGACCAAGATTCCCCACCTACAAGAAAAATACATATGTTAATAATAGCTACTACTACTTCTGCTACTACTACTACTGCTGCCATCAGCATTACTACTAATCACTACTATCTAAAGAGACAAAGAGAGAGATACTTTATTAATGCCGAGGGAAATTCAAAGGACTACTATCTCCGATGCTACTACAGAGCTCTGGAATGAATGAATTATGCATTACATTTTGTTTGTTTTAATTTGTATATTGTGTCTTATCTATACAGTAAGCCCCAAGTGAAACTGTAAATGCAAATTTGCTGTTCATATGCTGTTTTCTTTCTTGGAATTAAAAGGGTTTGGCATTATAAATACTTTTTACTTCAGCCTAAATCCTTTCGGTCATGATCCATGAGGTTGTAGTCTGTGTTTTGTTTTGTTTTGTACTGCCGCAAAATGACCGAATAAAGTACAACTACTACTACTACTACTACTACTACTACTACTACAACTACAACAACAGCTACTACACCTACAACTACAACAACTACAAAAAAAACAAACAACAATTACTACTACTACTACTAATTCTTCCTCATATACTACTACAACTACTACAACTAGTACTATAACAACAACTACAACTACTACTACAACAAAAACAACTACTACTACAACTATAACAACTACAACAAAAAAACAACAATTACTACTACTACTACTAATTCTTCCTCATATACTACTACAACTACAACAACTACTACAACTAGTACTACAACGACTACTACAACTACTACTACAACAACAACTCCAACTACTACAGCCACTACTATAACTATAACTATAACTACAACTACTACTGCCACTATTACTACTACTACTACTTCTACTACTACTACAACTATAACAACAACTACAACTACCACTACTACTACTACTACTACTACTACTACAACAACAGCTACTACACCTACAACTACAACAACTACAAAAAAAACAACAACAATTACTACTACTACTACTACTACTAATTCTTCCTCATATACTACTACAACTACTACAACTAGTACTACAATAACTACTACAACTACTACTACAACAAAAACAACTACAAATACTACTACAACTATAACAACTACAACAAAAAAACAACAATTACTACTACTACTACTAATTCTTCCTCATATACTACTACAACTACTACAACTAGTACTATAACAACAACTACAACTACTACTACAACAAAAACAACTACTACTACAACTATAACAACTACAACAAAAAAACAACAATTACTACTACTACTACTAATTCTTCCTCATATACTACTACAACTACAACAACTACTACAACTAGTACTACAACGACTACTACAACTACTACTACAACAACAACTCCAACTACTACAGCCACTACTATAACGATAACTATAACTACAACTACTACTGCCACTATTACTACTACTACTACTTCTACTACTACTACAACTATAACAACAACTACAACTACCAACTACTACTACTACTACTACTACTACTACAACAACAGCTACTACACCTACAACTACAACAACTACAAAAAAACAACAATTACTACTACTACTACTACTACTAATTCTTCCTCATATACTACTACAACTACTACAACTAGTACTACAATAACTACTACAACTACTACTACAACAAAAACAACTACAAATACTACTACAACTATAACAACTACAACAAAAAAACAACAATTACTACTACTACTACAAATTCTTCTTCATATACTACTACAACTACAACAACTACAACTAGTACTACAACAACTACTACAACTACTACTACAACAACAACTCCAACTACTACAGCCACTACTATAACTATAACTATAACTACAACTACTACTGCCACTACTACTACTACTACTACAACTACAACTACTACAGCCACTATTACTACTACTACTACTACTACTACTAATACTGCTACTACAACTACAACAACTACTACAACTAGTACTACAACAACTACTACAACTACTACTACAACAACAAGTACAACTACTACAGCCACTACTACTACTACTACTACAACTACAACTACTACTACTACAACTACTACAGCCACTATTACTACTACTACTACTACTACTACTACTACTACTACTACTACTACTACAACTATAACAACAACTACAACTACTACTGCCACTACTACTACTACTACACTACTGCTGCTAGAACCACAATTACAACAACAACTACAACAACAACAAGAACTACTACTACTACTACTACTTCCTCATATACTATTACCTCAAATACTAATTCCAGTACTAGTAATAACTACTAATACTCACTGGCAGTGCTACTACTACCTCCACTACTCTACTACTTTAACTACTACTACTACTACAGATGGAAATGAGCTTCCTAAGATAGAATCTGATTCCAGCATCTCTGCCCTCGGACATTATGTGTGCAGTGTCCTGTTAAATAAATAAATACATGAAAATGACATACTACTAAATCCAATACTACTAATGCTATCTCAAATACTACCTCAGATACCAGGATTACTACCACAACTACACAAAGTAATACTGGCATCGGAAGCAGAATCCATATGTTAATAATAAGCGTGGGGTAAGATAATCCCTGAGAAGCGAAGTGTGAAGTAAACATCTCCGTCTCCAGGGAACAGAAAGCATTAAGACACATTATGTAGGATTTATTCTCTTTAACAAGACATGTTTTTTCTGAACTGCACCTGCGACCGCTTTAAGATACACTTGCAGCACTGACTCCTTATGGTCTGTTTATAGAGTCATGATAATTTTAGGTTTTCGATGCAAGTAGTTTGAAAGTACATGATTACACGAAATGATCTCACTCTCGCTCTGAATACAGGAAAATATTCTTGACTGATGTGTATTTAACTCCAGTCTGCAGGTAGAAATAAGCAACTGGAAATAGGGTTGTCGCGATACCAAAATTCAAGTTTTGATACTCAGGAAAAGGATTCGCACTCAAAAACATTTTTTTAGACAACAGATGTAATTTTCAACACAAAATAATAGAAGTGTTTTATATGAACTCATGACAGTACTGATATAGAGATTGAGACCATTTTAAGACAATTTAGGAAAAGTAAAATTTTGTCCTGTTTATGTATTTTCCAGTATACTTGTTGAAATCTACTTTTGATAATTGTTTGAGTATAAATTAGTATCTCGATGGGTATAGATAATACATTTTATTAATGTCTATTTTTTTGTTAAAAAGTAGCTCTTCAAAAAACATGATTGAACTATTTGTTTTAGCTTTTTAATTTTAACTTAAAAAATAGGTTTTAATTAAATTTATTAACTATGCCCACCAAGATACAAATTTATTCTAAATTTTATTTTTTTTTTTTTATGAGCTCTTCAAAAAACATCATCAAACTTTTTCTTTTAGCTTTTTAATAAAAAAAAAAAAAAAAAACATTGCTAGTAAAAATTGTTGTAAAATGTAAAAATCATTTCAAATTTCAAGCCATGATATGTAACTTTTTGCCAACAAATTGAGTAAAATGAAAACCATTATGATTTTTATTGCATTAAAAACACAAAAAAACACGCCTTCTTACTGTGAGCAGGTTTATATCTCCACAAACCTGACTCTTAGGCTTCGTTCAGACTGCAGGGCTCAATGCTGAATTCAGATTTTTTTGTGAGGTTGTTCACATTTCCAATTAAATGTAACTTGTATGTGATCTCCAGTGTGAACTTTAAACGCCCCAAAAGTGTCCCGCATGTGCATTGGAGGACACAACGACGTCAGTGTTCATGAAAGTAGCCTAAACGCTGGGCTTGTCACACAAAATACGATCCATCCACGGCCGCTTTGTTTGTTTTGAGTCTTTAGCCTCCTTGTATTTGGCTCACAGGCTCTTTACTTTTTGTTGACATTGGAGCCAGGACCGCCTGTAGCAGCACTCAGCCGTTTCTTTGGCAGCCATTTCAAAAACTGATAAGAACCCTCCAATTTGGCCTGAATACAACAGTCCAACCTCGTTTTCCCTCCATTGACGAGACTCTGAGCCTGACGTGTAGGTGGGATGAATGTGACCTGACCGTTCAGACTGAAGTCCCATGTCAAAAGATCGGATATGTATCGGTTTTAGGAGCACATATCCAAATGGTCTGGGTTGCATTTGAAAAAAAATCAGATCTGTGTCGTTCAGACTGTCATTAAAAGATCAGATACAGGTCACAAAGGGGCCAAAAAATCAGATTTGGGTCACTTCAGGCTGCAGTCTGAACATAGCCTTATTTGTGCCACCTTATCACTTTAACAAATAAAAAAATAACTTGTATCTGTTTAGATTAATATCACGTAACATTACTTCATGAACACCATGCACTATTTTAACTTCAACTTGAATAAAACCATTATAGAAGCCAAAACATCTCAGCAGAAGTAGCAGCAAGAACTAATTTTTGGTTCGTTATGTAGAAGGATCTGACATGAGTGAAAGATTTATAAGAGCAGATCAATGTTTTATGAGGTGACATTCTGAACAAACATTCTCCACAAAAGAAGCATGAATAAAACAGGGCGCTCTTCTCTGATTGTTTACCTGTGGGAGCGCCTGCATCACCGTGTCCAGCAGAGATCTCATGCCTTTAGCCATTTTTAGCAGCTTCAGCACTACAACACAGAATGGGACAATTACACACAGACATATTCACTCTAAGCTCCATTGATTATTGTGATTTTAAAGTGATTTTATTGTGTTTGTAGGAGTAGATTTTGGGCTTTGTTTTTGAGCATTTTCAAATAATAATGAAGCAAGACCAAAAAAAAAAAAGTTGGACAAACAGAATAAATCAAAACAACTAAAAATATAAATATTCTGTTTTCAAGCATTTTTTTTGTTTGTTTATTTAACAATTCAACACTTTTAATGACAGTTCTCACTACTCGGACAGAATATTTTCCCTTGAAATTAGAGAAAAATTCAAAATATTTATTAAAACAACAATTCTAGAGTAATAAACGGAACAAACCTGTAGTTAAAATTATTTAGACCTTCAGGAAACACTACCTGACTTTATAATGTAATGTTTAAAAATGTATCTGGGAGCAGTGTCCTTAAAAACCTTTTTGGCTTCTACCACTCCCATGCAACACACGGGGGGTGTTCTACATGGATGTCTACTGGTGGAATGTTTAGAAGTTACCAGAAGCAAATACAGACAAATACATTTTAAGATATAAACGATATAAAATGGATTTAAGCAGCACATTTTCAGGAGCCTGTGATTAATACGAGCGTCCATGGTCTTGTTTAGGTGTTTGATTTTCAACAAAAAGGTGACATGGAAAAGGTTGTTATTAGTTTATACGACCATGGGGAAAAAAAAATAAAATCCTTACATTCTTCATTCTCTTTTTGCTTATTTTGATATGTTATAAACGATAAACTTTTGTGCCTTCTTTATCATTATTAGTTTGTATGACCATAATACAGTACAATACAAAAAAAAAAATAAGACATTGGGTTAAAATTATCTTTAGTTTATATGTAGTATGCATAGTATGTCATTTATTTTGCTATATGTAAATATTTGTAAAGTTTCGTCATCAATGTACAGCAACCACATCATTTTTGAAATTTTGAAACTATTTAATGAATAGAAGTGGGTTTTTATTATTATTATTCTACATTTTTTATGCTTTTCTGCTGTTTATAATGTATATGTAGTATGTATATGATTATTGTTTATCTCTTGGCAAAGACTTGAAAAAAAATAATAAAAAAAAAAACACAATAAAAGCTAAAAAACTGTGACTATAATTTGATGTCTGACAGATTTGTTTAACAATAAAATCAGCTCACGTGTAGTAGTCACAGCTAAATCGGTTCTATCTTTCTTTCAGATTGTGTTAAAATAAATCTCAGGTGAAAGTCTAATTTGTGTAGCAGCTCTTCAGACAGAGCAATGCCTACAGTTAACATCACAGCCCCAGGGATTGTTGATGAAATCAGCTGCAAAGTACTGCATCAATTGTTCATTATACACATGCATTTTTTAATTTTTAGGCTGTCAAACCTGAACTAGACCTTTAAACAAGCGCTAAATAAATACATAAATACATAAATAATGCAATATTAGTGTACACAGACAGTTGCACAAAGCCGTACAGCACTACATGTCCTTACCTCGAGCTATTCTGAGCACTCTCATGATCCTGATGATGGTCGGGTTTATGGGCAGAGCTGCGTTCATCTTCAGCTCCTCCAGTGTGATGCCCATTATGGACAAAGCCACGATCGCAATGTCCAGCTGATTCCACCTAGATACAAAAAAAAAAAACACTTTGTAATCTCGAGTTAGCGTTCTTTCAGTTTTTCAGTTCACTGTCTCTTTTTATTTTAGTGAATTTAGATTAAAATTGCACTGTGCAGCTTCTCTGGTGGTTACAATGTGGAGAAGTTATTGCTTTGCTATCTCGCATTTATTCATTACGGGTGTTTCTGTTGCTCAAAAATATAATAATTCCTTTTGTGGATAGAGGCGAGGTCCGTGTACCATTCGTTCTTTTGAATTGCAATTAAGAACGAAAAATATTAAAAAGGGGAAAACAGTTTGTCATTTCAATATTCCATGTTTAGTGTCAAACAAAAAAACACATTTCAACCTATTTCCAATATCTAATTTAAAGTTTATTTCATATAACACCAATCAAAAAACAGTCATTGTGACTTTTAATTTTGATATTTTATTCTCTCTGATTTATTTGCCTCGGAAGTTCTGCTGCTAGAAGGACTTACCTGAAAAATCTTTGCAATTTTGTGGATAAACATGCCCTCTTCTTTTATAGCGATGCGTTTACTTTCATGTCTTAGAAAGTAATTGTTAAACTCTAAGACGAGAAACAGGTAGCAGCGAGGCAATAAACATAACTTCTGGGGCATATAAACCAGAGAGAATAAAATATCAAAATTAAAATAGGCGCTGAGACTGTTTTTGGATTGGTGTCATTAGAAATTAAGGAAATAAGTTTGAAATCTGTTATAATAATGAAATAAACCGTTTTCCCATTTTATTGTTTTTCGTTCTTAATTGAAATTCAAAAGAACAAACGGTACACAGACCAGGCGACTCTCCACAAATCTGAATTGTAATGTAGTGTAACCTGCTGTAACCTGTGTGTCTCCCTTGTGATAGATTGGTTATATCAGGGGTGTCAAACATACGGCCCGGGGGCCAGATCCGGCCCTCCAAGACCTTTAATCTGGCCCTCGGTTGATTTTCTATTAAAATATTGGTAATTTTCTGTGGTGCTGAGCAGAGCAGCGTCTCCAGCATCTGTGCTGGCCCCTCCCACCAGAGCAGCACAAATGAAAACTTGTCTCTTTCCAAACGCTCTTAAATGATGATCGTTTTGACTGTTCACCGTGACACCCTCATCAGCAAAATGTCCAAAATGAGAAAAGCGGACGCCAAGTGCAGGATTTTCCAAGAAAAATGTACTTATTCCTGTTTACATACAAGTTCATGTTAAAACATTGTGTTGAAATTGCAATTTTCTTTCAGGTTGTTCATAATATTATAATATTTTGTAAAAGAAAGATTTGCATTTCTCTGAGCAAATATTTGAACTTATTTTTATTTTTGGGGTATATATGCCTTGAGTTTTCTGATTCGGCCCCTTTGGGATCAAAGTAGGTTGGATACGGCCCCCGGACCAAAATGAGTTTGACACTCCTGGGTTTTACCTTTAGGCCTACTGCAGAACATTCTAGACAAAGAAATAACAATTCCATGGAGAAGACAAGCAGGTGGCCGACCCTCTACTAGAAATGTTACGCAATGCACCTCTAATAAAAAACCCACACATTTAAGCTCAGGGGAAGAGAAGATGTTTCTCTGCTGGGTAAAACTTGGCACAAACAGAAGAGAGAAGACCCTGACCTGACCTGACTGTTACTGATGTGTAATAGTTTAGAGTGTAAAATATATTATAGATTAATCCTCCAGACTGATATGTGTAGACGTCTTGATTCTATTTCTCCACATAATCAGTCTGAGATGGTGTCACAACAGCAGAACAGGATGAGAAATCAAACTTTTGCGAGATCTAGATGACAGAAAAAGCACATACATCTTTCTCATCCATAAACGCGCCTTCCTCCGCTCGTTTTTCACACACTAAATAATCTGGATTTGTGCTAAAATAGGTCAAAGTATATCTACAGGCTCTGTTCACACACCAGGAACACGTTTGGATGCAATGATAACTTCCGGTGGGTTCTTTTCGCGGTAGTAAATCTCACAAAATCCAGGAAAAATGAGAAAATGTCCCAGTTTTCTTCATCTACTGTACATGTCATTGTAGCGTTCTGTTATGTTCAACTAAACAACAATTACAACCATACCTCAGTTTTCATCATTTCCCTACTGACACACAACTCAGAAGAGATGAGTGCACCAAATTCAAGATGATTCCAAACAACACATACGTTTGCAGTCTTCATTTTACCGCTGATGACATTTACTTCGATGGGTTTTATCACAGTCGGTCGGTGTTGTCATCGCATATTTCCAAATGTCTTCCTGGTTTGTGACGTAAGCGTGAATAGAGCCTATTTTGGCGTCACCGTGTTTGTTTTAGTTCGGTTGTTTACGCCCATACTTCAGTGCTGCTCTGGGATTGGTCAGAGCCAGTGTTGAGAAGAGCAAAGTTGCAAAAGCTGGGGCCTGGTCACATGGATTCTAGAGTGATTTTAAACTGACAAACATTGCAGTAATTCATCTTAAAAGGGCCCATATTACTCTATTTTCTGATCTATGTTATAATGTTCTTTACCTGGAGTTATGTTTTGTTTGTTTAACTTACAAACTATGCATATTTAAGATGTATTCTTCTCTTAAACATGTGTTTTTAAACTCCATATACATTTAGCATGATTCATCAGCCAGTTTTACTTGGTGGAAACTGTTTGACCTCACAGCATTAAGATTCGTTCGCTTGACAGTAGGCGGGTACTTTTTTTATTTAACCAACCCTGCTATTTGGTCGTGACGTATGTAATGCGCTGCAATGCTCAGTGGTGTCCAAGTAATTGCCAGCACAACAGCAAACAAAACAAAAACTGAAAATCCTTGATCTCGGGAATCGTTGCCAACACAGAACGTATGGCTTCATCTACATCCATCTCGACCGCTTTGTTCACTGTTGTGCTGTACAACAAAAACCACAAACGGGACCCAGACAGGCGCTTGAGTTTGACGTCATGGCTTCACAGCTCTTCGCGGTCTACAACTTCCGTGGTTCTTGAAAACCGTCTAGTGTATTCCAATTCCTGACCTAGTCGATAGAGAGAAATGAAATTGAGCGGAGGCACTAGGTGACACCAGCCTGGCTACATCTTCACTAGGATCATTTGGATAATTTCAGACCTGGAATTTCCAGTCTCTACTTTATAAAAGGTAAACAGTAACTTAACTTGAAAACTACTACTTCATGACATCACAAGGTGGAACAAAGCATTTTGAGTTTTGGAGAGGAAGACAGACTAATAATCCAGGATTACTCAAACGTGTGAATGAAACAAAACAACGCTTGGAATGTTTTTGAGGAGGTAACAAAGTCCTAACATGACAAGAGAATTTTGCCCAATACAGGACCTTCAATTCATTAATTCTGGATAACTGTGTTACTTTGAAAATCAACATTAGTCAAATCAAGTTAAAATATTACTAATTTAAGTCAGTTGAACATATTTACTTTACATAAATTCGCATGGGATAAATACAACCTGGGGATGTCTGATAATTTGCAAATTACCGCCCCACCTCTGTGTTATTGGCAGAGCATTTGCACGGGAAAAGCAAAGTCCGTAAATTACTCTATTTTACTGACACTGACACAGAGATTGAAAGAGAAAAAAATGCGTAAAGGAAAGAAAGTGATAGAAAAGGCGCAATTACAACAACAAATACTGAGATGCAGATTCGAAAGGGACTAGTATTATCACCGGACGTCTGTGTTTGGCGAAATTCAGTAGGCAATTTGCTGCGAAATTTTTACTTTATAAATTACAGACACGGCGCATTCGGACGGGATTAAGATCTCAGGAATCCTCCACAATTATTACAAATCACCAAAGGTCCACAGGTAAAACTAATCCCGTGCGAATAGGGCTTTAGGTAGGAAGAGGAAAGAACAAACCTGTCTTTAAAAAATCGCTGTATACCAAAAGCCACGAGTTTGAGCAGGGCCTCGACGACGAAGATGCACGTGAACACATAGTTGCAGTACTTCAGAACTTCCTCCAAATACTGCAAAGTAAACAACATCGTCATACTTCCACCAAAAATAAACAGTACATTAGCAGAATCAAGTTTATGAGGCGAGCCGTTTTACGTGAGGCTGGTTGTAGTGCTCGATGCTCATGGTGAAGACGTTGATGCAGATGATGAAGGTGATGAAGAGGTCCAGGTAGTGGCTGGTGCACAGGGTGTGGATGGAGAGCCGGACGGGGGAGTAGTCGGCGTAGTACGGTCTCTGCTTGGCCTCTGCGGAGCAAAGTTAAACAGTCAAAAACATATTTAAGAAGGATAAGACTCGGGATTTGAACACATGCTAAGTGGCCAGCTCTCTGTCAGCAGATATGAAAGAGGAGTTTGCTCAGAACTATGGAAGCATATGAGGACATGAGAGACAGAGCTTTACATTTAGAAAAATCAGAAAAGAAGCTTAAATTCAGCTGATCGATATAATTAAAGAAGCTGTACCTGATTTCATTTTAAATAACTTGTAGTCTAAACCTGTTCCTCACTTCATTCAGAGCATCATAATTATTCACCATGATCTGTTTATGAGCCTTTTTCTCAAGTTTCAGAGGCCAGAATGAACAACAACTAGGATGCTAACACTGCATTAACTTTCTTTCCTGTTTGTGGCCCATAAAAGTACATTTTACTCAATGGATACATGGATAAAAATCAGGTACAATCCCTTTATCTGATGTTTATGTCATTGTGATGCATTGTAATTTCTCGATACACAAATGCACTGGTAGATAGAACTAAAAGTACTAGGGGTGTAACGGTACACAAAAATCAAGGTTTGGTACGTATCACGCTTTTGAGGTCATGGTTCGGTTCATTTTCAGTACAGTGTTGGAAGAAAATACTAAATTATGTGCTTGTTGTTTATTTATGTTTTTATTAAACCAACAATTTGTTTTAACATTATACAAAGGGGAAAATAAAATAAATGCAAAGTGCTGCTTGTAATCAGTTAAATATAATATTCTCAAATAAGCAACAAATGCATGAAATATTATTAAAAAAAATAATTCCTTGTAAACAGTAAAATAAACTGGGTGGGAGAGGAGATTTCGTGCCGGTGATAGTCAAAAGTGAGGACTGTGGCGCGACAGCCGTAGTTGCGAGGATTCACATAGTTCAGAGGGACGAAGTCAAGGCGGAGGGCAGCTGTTGTCAAGGTGGTCGCCCTAACTATAAAGCGCTACGGGAAACACTGCTCCAATCATGGATGTAGTGGCAGAATGTAAACATACAAAAACTGGGTGCATTCACGCGGGCACTGCCCTGCACTGAACCGAACGTCCCGTACTGAAACGGTTCGGCGCAAACACATGTACCGTTACACCCCTAAAAGGTACTGCTTTATAATCGGGCATTTTCTATCAAAGTCTGTGCTCACATGTCCATAGCTGATGTTATGATTGCTCGAGCGTGCACTGTAAAAACCATGCCCACATGCCTATTCATGGGTTTCAGCTTCCTGGTGATAAGCGCCATTTTGAAGAATATTTTGAATATATATTGAATATTTTGTTTTGAATTGCTATGGCAACGGTGCAAATTTCACATAGACCTGAAACCCATGGATTTAAACAGAAATATAAGAAGAGAAGATGAAGTCAAGTTCAACATCACAATAACAACAGCTCATCTTACACGGTCTGAATTCACTGTGCAACTTTTCTGCCTGCTACCTGCTTGTCTCCATGAAGATGCTATTACTTTGCCTGAAAAGCTCCACAGTGGGGCATTAAAGTTATCTATCTCCTGACACTTCAGATCAGAAACATGCATGTTTTTCAAGGTATTTTTCAGCTATAAAATCACCTGTAGTTGAATAAATGCTGCAATACTCAGGAACTTCTCAGGCAAAGTAATAACATCTCCATGGAGACGAGCAGATGATCAACCCACCACAAGAAAAGTGACGCAGTACACCTTTAAAGCTATCGTCACTGTGATGTTGAACCATGCAGCTATTTCAACCCCACATGGCATCTTTAATCAAAAAACCATTTCATGAATTATTTAGAGAAAAGATTCAAGGCCTGCTCAGTTTTAGACCACTGAGCCTCAGCAGAAAGATGAGTAGTAGCGCTCTGCTCACACTAAATGCTGAATGTAAGCATGTACAATGGCTTTAGCCTCGTGTTGGCAGTATGCGGCTCACCTACAGCGCAGCAGCTCGATCAAGCAAATGTTAGCATGTACTGAATAGATAGCAGCTAAAATGCCTGCTATGTTTCTGAGTCTGCCAGTCAAAGCTCGTAAACACACCCTTTATCCTGGTTGTTCTGGGAGACACTTTTAGGTTTAGGAGTTGGCATGCTTTTGAAGTAGTAGAAGCTTTGTGGTTATTTTTGAGGGATTTTGAGGGATTATGAAAAAGGGAAACTCGTTGGTAGTTTAAGCATGCACAGGAAATGTTATTGAAACTAGAATTATGCAAACAGATGGGTAGTACTGAGTTACATTTACCTTTTAATACAATTATTTTTGTTGTAGGGAGTATTATACTAAGTGTAATATGGAGGCCAAGATAAAAAAAAGACTGAGCTGGATGATAGAATTGATTTTAGAGAATGTTTTATCCTCTTCTTCTATTCAAAAAATGTAGATTATTTTGTTTTGTGCTTCCAATTACAATAACTTGAAATTATAAATCAGATGCTATGTAAAGAAAGTTACTCTTATTTGCCATATAACTCCTCCAAATACTTTTTTACTCTCACTTGGTAGTAAATTCTTAGGTAGATTCTTAGTTTGTACTTTTGGCCTCTAATAACTTTACCGTTATCGGCTTATCCAGGTCTGACTGTAATGTTTACAGTGAGCATCGGTATGAACAAGGAGCTGTAGAATTTCTTTACTTTGAGTTTTCCATGCAGGTTATAGAGGGATTAGTACCACTTCATAATGACTACACTTTCAAGAGCCTTAATAAAGCATGAACAAAAGACTGAACTCATAATGAAACGGTCGTTTATAAGGAATGAGTCAGGCTTCGTAACTGTAATGCTATTTATTATTTTATTGTTTAGGTGAAGTTTATAAATTTCCTTATTGGTTGGACATGGGCAGCAGATACAACATATGTAAAGGTGCTTCCATAACTTCCATAACCTTTATCGTGTCTAAAAATAGTTAAACTGTCTTAAAAATGCCTTCCTTGTGCATAATTTTGTGTGATGAAATAGGTAGAGGTATTCTGTTTTAGAGCTCACTGCCACTTCTTGTATTTTTGTACTTTTCTTTTCAGCTTTTTGCACACGAAACTGCCACTTAATTCATGTAAAACTATGATAAATATTCCACCAACCCAAAACCTAACCCCTAAAACTTCTTAAAGGTCCAATATTACGCAAAATTTACTCTTGTGAGCTTTAAGTCATGTTATAATGCTCTTATCTACTCAAAAACATAGTTAGAGTTGTGTTTTATTTCATTCACATATTTGAGTAATCCATTATTATTCCTCTGTCTAAATCCCCAAAGCTCAAAATGCTCTGTTCCACCTTGTGATGTCATGAAGCTGTAGCTTTCAAGTTAACAGCTACATTTGACTGCCTTTAGTTCAGGGGTGTGGGACGCGGGGTTTCGCTGTCCACCAACTTCTCCCGACATGAGATATAAAAAAAAAAAAAAAGAAACATAAAATAGCTACCACTTAAATGTCAAACCAGAGCTATTGGCAATGGTGAAAACAACCACAACAACCACAACCATATCTGCAGTACTGTCCTATAGTGACCTGAGACATGAGGGACCGGGACTAAACCAGGACTAAACCAGGTGTAAGCCAGGACTAAACCAGAATTGAACCAGGACTGAGCGTCAGTACGAGCCCAGAGGCGCACCTGCATAAACCGTCGGGTGACTGCAGGAGAAAGGACAGGCACAGAGCTCCGAGTCTCACAGGGCTAAACGCGTCTGTCCCCTTGCAGACACCCTGCTGCGTGGGCTCGGGGTTCTTCTTCCTCTCTTTCTCAAGTCAAAGATTAGTCCTGGTTTAGACCTGGTTTAGTCCTGTTTAGTCCTAATTTAGACCTGGTTTAGTCCTGGTTCAGTCCTGGTTCAGACCTGGTGTAGTTCTGGTTTAGTCCTGATTTAGTCCCTGGTTTAGACCTGGTATAGTTCTGATGTAGTCCCTGGTTTAGACCTGGTTCAGACCTGGTGTAGTTCTGGTTTAGTCCTGATTTAGTCCCTGGTTTAGACCTGGTTTAGTCCTGGTTCAGACCTGGTTCAGAACTGGTGTAGTTCTGGTTTAGTCCTAATTTAGTCCCTGGTTTAGACCTGGTTTAGTTCTGATTTAGTCCCTGGTTTAGACCTGGTTTAGTCCTGGTTCAGTCCTGGTTCAGTCCTGGTTCAGACCTGGTTCAGAACTGGTGTAGTTCTGGTTTAGTCCTAATTTAGTCCCTGGTTTAGACCTGGTTTAGTTCTGATTTAGTCCCTGGTTTAGACCTGGTTTAGTCCTGGTGTAGTCCTGGTTCAGACCTGGTTTAGTCCTGGTGTAGTCCTGGTTCAGTCCTGGTGTAGTCCTGGTTTAGTCCTGGTGTAGTCTTGGTTTAGTCCTGGTGTAGTCCTGGTTCAGACCTGGTTTAGTCCTGGTTTAGTCCTGGTGTAGTCCTGGTTTAGTCCTGGTGTAGTCTTGGTTTAGTCCTGGTTCAGTCCTGGTTAGTCCTGGTTTAGTCCTGGTTTAGTCCTGGTTCAGTCCTGGTGTAGTCCTGGTTAGTCCTGGTTCAGTCCTGGTGTAGTCCTGGTTTAGTCCTGGTGTTTGGTTTAGTCCTGGTGTAGTCCTGGTTCAGACCTGGTTTAGTCCTGGTTTAGTCCTGGTTTAGTCCTGGTGTAGTCCTGGTTTAGTCCCTGGTTTAGACCTGGTTCAGTCCTGGTTTAGTCCTGGTTTAGTCCTGGTGTAGTCTTGGTTTAGTCCTGGTTTAGACCTGGTTCAGTCCTGGTTTAGTCCTGTTGTCACATCGTTGACGTCAAAAATTGCGTACCCCTACTTAAAAAATCTCCACTACACCACTGCTTTAGTTCAGTAGTTGAAATCATCTATACGATTCTAGTGAAGGTGTATGGAGTTTAAAAACACAGTGGAACAAGGTGGAACACGGTGTTTTCAGTTTGAGAGAAGAGCTCAGCCTAAATATGCAGGATTTGAAGAAACAAAACACAGCTCCAGCTTTGTTTATGACGAGGAAACATTACAAAATAGATCAGAAAATAGCATAATATGGACCGTTTAAGTAGTTACTAAGCCTGAATAAACAATTAGTTCACTCTGAATTAAGTCTTTCTCTCATGTTTTAAGGCTAACCAAGCTATAGTCATTATAAAGTGCTACCGAGGGATCATTTTGGACTGAAATCATGCACTTATCGCATGCACCAGATTGCCTTAGCCCACATATGAACCAGTGTGAACCAGCCAATCTGTCCGTCTCTCCCTCTTCGGGTTAGAACCATCATATCCGAATCGTTTTTTTTTTTTTTTTCTTTCTTTCTGTCATTCCCGATCACTCCGTTCAGGCTCTGATAGCAAGCAGTGCTCAGAAAAATAGACTACCGACCAGCCCCTCCATTCTCCTTACTCCTACGCCTTTTCTCCAACATCTTCTGCCTCTTCTCCTCCCTCAAGCGGGCCTCCTCCTCCTCCTGGTCCTGACGGCACTTGTGGAAGTTCTCCACCACCACGCCCACGAACATGTTGAGGACGAAGAAGCTGACGATGAGGAGGAAGGAGATGAAGTAGAGCAGCATCCAGGGGTTGTGGTTCCGCACGGGCTGAGGACACAGGGAGAGAGAACGTAGATTTATGAGTGGTAAATAAAAAAAAATAGTTGTGTGTCAAATCACTGATGCCAAAGCAGAGGTGGGTAGTACTCAGTTTTAAAGAAATTGCACTATTCAGAGTACTTTTCTAGCACCATACTTTCACGCCTACTTGAGTAAAATGTCTGACAGTGTACAGGACTCTTAAAAGTTTTACTGACTCTTCCCACTGTGAGTAAGTCTACAAGCGACAAAAGCTTAATGTCGACAGTATGAAATGATTTGAACATTTGTTTCTTGCACCGCTCCTTCAGACATAATGCAGCTTTTCTTGTCATTGTGTCTATCCTTTGAAAAAAACTAAACAAAAACACATTTTCTGCATTTATTAATGTTTTGTCCTTCAAATTACAGCAACTTCAAAATATAAATCAGCTTCAATTTTATGTTCAAATTTCCCTAAGTAGTTTTTTATTTTTACTTGAGGATTTTTTAGGAATACTACTTAGTGCATCCACTTAATGAGCAATATTATTTTGAAGTAACGTTACTCTTACTTGAGTACAAACAGCTTTTCATAGGCTTATATGTACTGCATTAGGTATCACAGTGGCTTAGGGTGGCACAATAGAGGAGAATAAACATGTCCGATATTCAGTGTTGGGGAGTAACAGATTACATGTACGTAATCAGAGTACAAATTATGAGTAACTGTATTCAGTTACAGTTACTGTTTGAGTGAGTGGTAATTGGATTACAGTTACTTTGTTGAAATAAATGGATTACATGGCGGTATTTTCCTGTTTTCACATTTTGGACTATATCCTTTTTTTTTTCTTTTTTTTTTTCTCGGTAATTCCACTCATTGCCGGACACTAAATCAGAGCTAAAATCAGGTCTAAACCAGGACTAAACCAGGTCTAAACCAGGACTAAACCAGGACTAAACCAGGTCTAAACAGGACAGGTCTAAACTAAACCAGGTCTAAACTAAACCAGGTCTAAACCAGGACTAAACCAGGTCTAAACCAGGACTAAACCAGGTCTAAACCAGGACTAAACCAGGTCTAAACCAGGACTCTAAACCAGGACTAAACCAGGTCTAAACTAATCTAAATCAGGTCTAAAACCAGGTCTAAATCAGGTCTAAACCAGGACTAAACCAGGTCTAAACCAGGACTAAACCAGGTCTAAACCAGGACTAAACCAGGACTAAAACCAAGTCTAAACCAGGTCTAAAACCAGGTCTAAACTAGATCTAAATCAGGTCTAAAACCAGGTCTAAAACAGGACTAAACCAGGATTAAACCAGGACTAAAACAGGATTTAACAGGACTAAATCATGCCTCGTGGACGTGTCTCCTCCTCTTCTATCAATAATATTTTTAATACGGTTCAGTAAAGTCTGGGCTTATTATTTTCTTTAAGCAGACAAAACATCTTATGTGAAGATTTCCTCGTCTTTGCTTCTCTACAGTAAATCAAGTAATCCAAAGTATTCAGATTACATTACTCACCTTAAGAAATTTAATGGATTCTGTTACAAACTACATTTTGGGGTATATAATCTGTAATCTGTAGGGGAATACATTTTAAAAGTCACCTTCCCAACACTGCCGATATTTAGAAACATTGTAGAATATTGTTTGTATGCAGGTCAGTTCAATTAAAGGTACACTATGTAACATTTCTGGAGGAGTGTTTGCCACCTGCTTGTCTCTATGGAGATATTCATGTATGGGATTAATGTCATGGTGTTAATTTTCATTGAATTATTTTATTATTCTTGACCCAGATTTATTTTGTATTTCTCTAGCCGTGTGTGGGTTTTTGAGTTTTACTTCCTGTTGTATTGATTGTTTGCCCCGCCCGAATGTGTCTCACCTGCGTTTGATTATCTTCTGACTCCCATATGGACCTCGAATTTGACATCACATCCGATCTTGAAGCATATTATTATATTTTGTGTGTCAGACTACGTGGATTATGATTATGACTATTCCCTCATCTTACAAGTTTAAATAATTAAATTTTTGAAATGTGCACTTCATTTTATGTTATGATTTCTTTAACGTTGCAACCTTAGGGACATTAATGCTCGTTAAATCGAATATTTGTTCATTATTGGTCTCACCACAACACGACTACCAAACCCATAAGCAGTGATACAGACGAGGTAAAGTATTGCAGTAATACGAGTGACTGAAATTGTCATTTAAACCACCAAAGTGTCCAAACACAATGAAAATACTTCATATTTACACGTCAGAGTGGGCGGAGCCATCTTGCCATTCCAGGAAAAGAGGCGTGTGTCATGCGTGTCGCTAGGCAACTTCCTCAGAAAAATGATTTGGAAGGACAATCGAACACAAAGTATAGACCCTGTGTTCTCCTTTGCCCTTTGTTGGTTCATTTGTCATTATCAGTGTCATGTCTCTGGATTTTTTTTGTTTGGCTGTTCTTTCTTCTATTAAACCACTTTGCAAATGCACTCCTGTATTTCTGGGCCCTTCCTCTGCTCGAAACTTGACAATTAAACTTGTATATCCTGCATTTATTCAGTGACAGTTTTTATTGCTCAAAAATAATAATGAAAAAGTTGTGTTGTTACTTTGAGCTTGTCAGATTGTTACAAGACAAACTGTCAAAATCAGTTCTTAACCAAGACTTAACAAGAACAAGTTGAAGGCTAAATTATACTGAGAAAAAACTTCTTGAATGTTTTAAGTCACAACTTCTATTTGTTACATAAGGAAGAAAAGATACTGTAACCTGAGAGTTTTCTTTCACTGTGATGTGGAAAAGGCATCAGCTAATAATTCATTACTATAATATTATTTTTGCAACTTGCGGTGAATTTGTGCATAACTCATTCAGTCAATAGCACGAGGTGAACTGAGGTTTTGAATATAGTGAAGAGAAAAAAAACTTAAGACATCCTACAGAACCCAAACGTGTCTGCGCCTTATCCCTGCGCTGTCGGATCTGGAGTGGTGTTAACCCCGGGTTAAGACATCTTCAGACTGGACTTAACTTTACCCACAGGACTGAGACTTTACTATGCAGCTGCAGTGTTCCAGTCTGTGTAATGATTTTGTTTTTTGTATTGATTCTGCTTTAGCCACTCATTTACACACCGCAGTCTCTAGGTTAAAAAGGCTTCAAATCAGAAAATTAATTACAGTAATTTTAAGTAGATGAATTTACTGGATGGACCTCAATTATTGAACTTGTTAAAACTGCACTTATCCCATTAGCAGATTTTAATACCCAATTTTGATCCACAAGTAAAAAGCATATTTAAAAATGAACTGCTAGTCTGCGTGTTCCTTCTCTCACGCACTTCTGAATTAAAGTTATTTTAAATAGAGGCTATTTTACTTCTGTGGCGTATTAACCGCTAACACATAATAACATTAAGATCACCATGTTACCTTTTTATTGTTTTGAGAATACTATATTTGCCAAAAAGGACAAGTTTAATCCTTTTGCTCTCTGCACTGTCACTCCCCCTTCAGAGCGCTACCACAAAATAATCAGATCCTGCTAATGAAACTATTGCACATCACATCAGGTTTGTCAAGTTGTTGTGTACAGTTTAGTATCATGTTTTAGCATACCATATTTTTTGAACTATAAGTCATACTTTTTTCATGGTTTGGGTGGTCCTGCGACTTATACTCCGGTGTGACATATATATTCAAATTTTCAGACTGACAGCCATGACAGGGCGCTCTACGCTTGTGTGTCAGTATCTGCTACTACTGTACAGTTGTTACTTCAAGCCCTACTGCGCATGTCTCCTGCAGAAAAAGCCGCTGTCCTGCTGCAAGTAGTGAAATATTCAGCCGAAAATGGTAATCGAGCAGCAGAAAGAAAGTTCAGAGTGAGCAAGAAACTTGTGAGAGACTGGTGGAAAGTGGGAATGGAGAACACAGCTTCACGGCAACCAAAAGGGTGCACCATGCAACTTTTCTGGAAGTCATGGGATGGATCGACAACGCCTGGACTTCAGTGACAACCAAAAACATCCTGTCGCGATTCAGAAAGGTGGGAATAATTCTAACTGGAACTGATGCTGAGTCTGACGAAAGCTACACAGAAGAAGAAGTGGCGCTCTGTTTACCTCTATGGTTTACCTTTGGAGGTCGCGAAGTTGCTCAGAAGTGACACCGAGGATGAAGAATTCAATGGATTTGGAGTGAGATGGAGAGTTTGTTAAACCTGTTATGTTCTGTTGTTTATGCTATAGTTTATCTGAAGAACTGTTCATATTTGACGTTAACAGTCTGTTGTTCTCTATTCTGTTGTTATTACTGTAACTTGCCTTTCAAGATGAAATGTCGGTTCTTGGTCTCTGATTTTATAAAATAAATTTCCCCCAAAAAGTGTGACTTATAGTCCAATGTGACTTATATATGTTTTTTTCTTCTTCATTACACATTTTTTGGCTGGTGTGACTTATACTCCAGAGCAACTTATAATCCAAAAAATACGGTTATTTATGGAAAATTGTGGTGTGGGAGCAGGGGTGACGTAGACTTGGACAGAATCTTACAGCTAAATGTAAAGAGGGTTTGAAAAGGCAAGTTTTTGATGAGGGAACAATCTTAGAACATGATAGAAAGCTCAAAAAAGTGATTCTGTATAATATCCTCACTTAAAGCTTGATATTAATTTGTGAACTTAAATCACGTTATTTACTGAAATTCACAATTCCAACACAGTGGATACTACCTGTTGGTCTACTCCTACTGCATCCAGTCCATCGTACATGATATTCACCCAACCGTCTTTACACGACAGCACGAACAAGGACATCAGCGCCTGGAAACAAAAAAGCACCATTTTAGTTCAAGTTTATTTAATTATTTATTGGTATTTTTTATTTTTAATTTGGTTTGTCGTCCTTGCTCCTGTGTATCACCTGAATGAGGTTGTCAAAGTTGTATTTCCTGCGTATCCAGCGGTACTTGGCCTCCAGACAGTCGGACTTGTTGGTGATGTTTTTGGTGTCCAGGCCTTCACAGTGGTAGAATTTGCCTTTGAAGAGCTGCGATGACAAGGACAGAAGAATAAATGTACTACAAAACGGAAAAGATCTACTGAAAATAAACATGGCTTGAATTTAAAATAGCTATCTTGTTTTATCTTTTGTTTAGAGTTTCAACTTTCAAGACATTTCCAGCTGGCTTCAATTTTTTGTTCAGATTTCATGAGAGAGTAAAAAAAAAACAACTCCACAGACAGATATTCATGTTTGATACAAGAAAAATACACTGAAACCCAAAAAATAAATAAGATAATAAAGTTAATAAGTGCTTGAATCAAGTCGTCGTTATCTTGATCGTTATATTTCAAGTATATTTTTTCTTACATCAAATGCAGTAGCAAAATGTACCCAAATCAAAATAATTGTTACTTGATTCCAGTGGTTAACTTCTCTCCAGCTGTCTTATTAAATTTAATTTTTTCCAGTGTAAATAATTTGAAAATCAAAGAAAAACAACTAAATAAATCTAACCTAGACCCCGTTTACACTGAAACGAATCCACGTATCACCGTATCACCTTATCGGAAACGATCTGCGTCCAGACACGTCATTTCTGTATCCGCAATCAAAGCGTTCCCTGTCCACACAGTAACGCAAAACCGCCTGAAACACTAGTCACGTGATAGGCTAGTGTCTCGCCATCACGATATCCCGACGTCACATGAGCGGTAAAAACAAGGAAGTTTGAAGTTGCAGCAGCTGATTTTGATGGTAAGTGTAAAAACTGTTCGTGGACCAATGACGAGGTTCAGTTGTTACTTTGCGTAACACTGGACTTTAAGACGAGCACGGCGGCTAAGAGCGAGGATTGACTCGTTTCTGTTTCCGCAAGCCTTCCCTATCCACACAGCTTTGAGAATATTTGTTTACATTTTACAGAAACAAAACTTAAAACCACATGGCTAATTTGCATAAACTAACCGCTCAAAAAACAGCTCGCTATTGTGCGCTGATGCGGTTCAGCTTCTGTCGGACTAAAGGACACGACTCAGTGGAATATATGTGTTCTTTCTGTGACAGAGGGATGTTCTGCTGATGGTGAGTCTGTTCTGTGCTTCTACTGCGTTGGAGATGGTTCATGTTAAACGTTTCAGAGATTATATGTCTGCAAGTCGTACACATAGACCGTATATATGAATGGACATATATTCTAGCCTCTTAGCATTTTGGCGGTGAATTACTTTGCGGTGCATAGACCTACATCAGCGTATCAGTGTTTTCAGGCGTCCACACAGTGCCGGGTCAGATCTATACTCAAATGAATTCGTGTGAGCTGGCGACACCAGATCATTCCGTATGTGGAGCCGTTTTCAATCAGATTCGTGTGGACGAACACTGCATCCGCAACGAAAACGACTCGAATACGTACTAGTGTGGACGGGGCCCTAGTTGAAACTGCTGAAATCAAGATTATGAAATTAAAATATTCTAAATGTGCTCTACGAAAACCACAGTATGCCTTAAAATTATCTCCAAGTTACAGGTCAGATCTGTGGAGAGAAGACCCCAGTCACTGTAAGACTGCATTTTTTTTAAAGGTCTTTCTTTTTTCTTTTCTATTTAAGCATATTAAGCAAACGAAAACAATAGACAAAAACAAAACAAAAGCCCTCCTACACCCCACCCCTCTCCCCACACTCAACACAGCTACACAAAAAACACAAGTTATTTTCAAAGTATTTCTTAGCAATAACTTCACCTAACTGAATCAAAGTAATGCCATAACGTGAAACATTTCAGGCAAAGCAGCAACATCTCCTCTGAGACAAGCAGCCTTCACCAGAACAGTTACATAACCCACCTTTAATTGGTGAGTTCAGTTTTTGCAGTGCGCCATTAGCCTGCCATTTTTTACACTTTATCTCAATGACAGAGGAGCCGGGAGCTTCTGCACACTTCATCATTATTATTACCAAAGAATAAAGGATGTTTTTCAATACCCCGGTTCTTATCTTTGTGCTTCTTAGTATAAAGTGGGCCTGTGGGGTCTGCTACGTTCTCCACACTTAACCTAATTGTCTTTCTCGCAAACTCATCAAGAACAAACGTTTATTGTCCAGGGCGTATTTGATGATTCCAACAGCCCCCCGGCTTGTGCTCATGCATTCAGTGTTTGACATTTAACTACTTAAAGCTGAAGAATGGGTATTTAGATGAAAAACGCTGTGAACGGGGTGGCATACACAAAATTGTAATATTGTTTAAAATGGCTAAAATTCAGAATATTAAACTCCAGATCTCCAGAAAGATTGATGTATTTGTTTTAAACTGTTTCATGCTTACATCGCTTCTTATTTCAAGCCAAATTGTTTTCCAGTGGGCTGATTTTTTTCAGCATTTCAGCCTTAATTTTAAACGAGTTGAAAATGTCATAGAACCAATCTCATAATCTAATCTAGTCATTTAATCTCTGTGGACTGAGATAATAGTTTGAATTAAACATTTAAAATCTTTATTAAATCTAAAAGGTTAAATAAAGGTTCAATAAAAATGCATAATTTTAACCAAAGCCAGATATTACATTTTGCAGTGGAGCCAGCGTGTTTTGAATAGTCAGACTGGTGTCGCTTAGTGTCTCCACTCAATTTAATTTCTCTCCAGCGATTAGGTCAGGAATCGGAATAGACTAGACCACAGGTGTCAAACATGCGGCCCAGGGGCCAGATCCGGCCCTCCAAGACCTTTAATCTGGCCCTCGGCTGATTTTCTACTGAAATATTTTAATTCTATTTTTTATTAAAATATTGTAAATTTTCTGTGGTGTTTATCACAGCAGCGTCTCCAGTGTCTCTGTACGTGGCCCCTCCCACCAGAGCAGCACAAATGAAGACTTGTCTCTTTCCAAACGCTCTTAAAGGACGATCGTTTTGACTGTTGACCGTGACACCCTCATCAGAAAAATTCCTATTTCTACAAGTTAATTTTAAACAAGTTCATGTTAAAACATTGTGTTGAAATTGTTTAGTTTTTTTAAGTTTCAGGTTGTTCATAATATTATAATATTTTGTAAAAGAAAGAGTTCATCAATTAAAAAAGATTTCTGTAATAGATTTGTGTTTCTCTGCACTATTTGAACTTACTGTTATTTTTGGGGTTTATATGACATGAGTTTTCTGATCCGGCCCCTTTGGGATCAAAGTCGGTTGGATTCGGCCCCCGGACCAAAATGAGTTTGACACCCCTGGACTAGACGGTTTGCAAGAACGTTGAAAGTGCGAGTCCAAGCACCAGCCAATAAGCAAAGAGCCATATATTCTCTTACAGATCAGATTTGTTGTCCCAAGAGTCAAAAAACAAATAGGAAAACATTTAAATATAAAGCTCCTTCTGATTGGAACAATCTTCCCTCATCGATTCTCGCAATAACATCTGTCCCTTCATTTAAAAATGCTCTGGTTCAATATTTACACAACCCATGTAATTGTTTTTAATCATTTTGTTGGATTTTGTTGTTCATCTTGTTGTATTTTGTGATAATCTTTGAACTCCGTCTTAGTTTTTTGTTCAAATTTGATTTAATATATGTCTAACAGTCAAGTATGAGTGAGTGTGTGTGTGGTTGTGTTGATTTTGTTGATTTGATGTTTATTTGAATTTAGGTATCCTGCCATCTGCCCTACTGTATCTGTCTTTTGTTGTTGTAACTATGAGGACCTCCTCAAAAACAAAATGGTGAGACATCTCAAGGGGCTTATCCTCCAAACAAATAAATTCAAATTCAAATTATACAGTGTTGGCAGTGTTGTTCCCGAGATCGAGGATTTAAAGCCGGAACAAAGAGAATGTTTGATGAATTTTATTAAGGGGAAAGATGTTATTGTCCTTCTTCCTACGGGATTTGGGAAAAGCTTAATATACCAGTTAGTGGCACATTACATACATCACGACCAAACAGCAGCGATTGGTTAAATAAAAAAGTACCCGCCTACCGTTGAGTGAAAGAATCCTAAAGCTACGAATCAGGCTGAATTTTGAATGGTTTGAATTCAGAATATTAAAGGTTGTATAGAGGATTTTTTTAAAGGGAAAAGAAATACAGTGACAGAACTTTTTCAAATGTTATGCATGCGTGACACCACCTTCCTCCTCCACAGTTCCCTCAGTAGAAACATCTCCTCCCGCCTCCTTAATTTAGAAATCACGCTTGTTTACAGCCAGTGTGTGTTCAGAATTACTGTTGAAGTGACCTGTCTAGAAATAATTTAGCGACCGATGCATCAGTTTTTAGACCCTTTGTCTGCTTCATTCGTGCAATCGCTGGAAGAGATCTCCAAGAATCACGTATTTGGCTTTGCAACCTTTGTCCTTCTCTTCTTCTTTCAGCGACCTCAAAAACGGACTTTCTTTTGTGGCAAACTGGTCATGGATTCTCGTCCGTCATCTCAACAAACAAACAAATGAACTGCGAGGAAGCTACAGTTTAAAAAAGCCTCCAAGAACCACTGCATAAACCACATAATCCCTGCGCGCCTGCAAGTCAGTTACACTAGAAACACAGGGAGTTTGACTGACAATCTAACAGCCAATAGAAAATGAGGTAGCCTGGTTATCTATTGGCTGATGTTTATCTGCCCTCACTACATCCACAGTTGATAGATTTTCATTCTTTTTTTTTAGTCAACATAATTACAAGGCTGCTGCATCTCTGTTAGGGTATTTTAAACTTTCATTGACAATTTGAAACTAAAAAAAAATACTCCATACAACCTTTAATCCAGATTAGACTATTTAAAGGTATGTAAATCTGTAAATAAATATGTCTGCCATGGTGATGTTATATCTTGCCTGAAATGTTCCACAGTATGTTAATTCTCCATGGACACAAGCAGAATGTGCTACAAACTAAGTTACACGTCATATCTGTGTAATGGTGAGCCCGCAGTAATAATGCATATTTTTCAAGATATTGTTGAGCAATGAAAACACCTAATAAAATAGATATTATTCAATGTCATACTGTGGAACATTTCAGGCAAAGTTATAATATCACTACGGAGACAAACAAGGAAAGTAACATTGTGCATCTTTAATCTGTTATAGATTTAATTGCTTACATAACTTTTAACTAATTATAACTAGAAAATTAACCTGCCAAAATAGGGAAAGCACGATTTTCTTACACCATTGAGAAATATTTGAAATGAAAAGCAAAGTATTAAAAATGTCTGAAAACCTTAAACACATTTTCAGAGTAATTTAAATCAAGGAAATAAACAGAATCGACTCTTAACAACTCAAATTTCTTTTTCCCCCAGTGCAGGACTAAAATCTATTGTCCACCAATTACTGAATGCCCCCCAGCTCCTCTTTCTGCATCCACCATTTGACATCTAACTCTGGACCCCTGAAAGAATTGTCCTGTGGCTGAACAGGAGCCGTGATTGGATAGTTACCTGCACTCCCAGAATGCCAAAGATAATGAAGAAGGCGCAGCAGATGAGGACGATGTTGCCGATGGGTCTCAGGGAGGTGATGAGGGTTTCCACCACCAGCTTCAGGCCCGGGGCACGACTGATCACTCTGAGGAAACAAGGGAACAGGTCCAAATGCACAACAGTGACACGAGGAAACAATAATGAGACTGTCTAATGCTCTGTCACAAAGGAAGTAGGTGGAAGAAAGAGGCTAGTGAACTCTTTGGCAGTCGTATTTGAAGTAGCAGTAGCAGTAGTAGTACCGTATTTTTCGGACTTTAAGTCGCACTTACTTACTCCGCTGTGACAAATATATAAACATTTTCACACTGACAGCCTCGAGAGGGCGCTCTAGGCTCAGTCAGTATCTGCTGCTCCTCTGACTCCTGTGCAAATCCAGTCAGGAGCAGGAGGATCGGTCGAATGCAGAGGACAAAGGCAAAATGGAAAAAAAGAAGCCAACTTTGTCCAACTTTGTTACATCAATGTTTTCAATTATTTGTTATTTTGGTCCTATCACCTAAACACCAAAACTTAACTTATCCTAACAATTTTTTTTTTTCAGACTTTTAATTAACAAATTAATTAATTCAGTGACTAACTAATCAGCAATTAATTAAGAAAATTTTTGATGAATTTGTTAATTAATTAATTAACACATTTTTGTCTTTAAATATAGAAAGATACCCAAAGCGCTTTGCAGTTCATTGTTTATTTATTCCACACTCAGTGGTGGCAAGCTACTACGCAGCAGCCCGGGGGCACATCGACTATCAATCTTTGGTTTTTTTTTCAGACTTTAACTTTCAGACTTTTTGACTTTCAGACTTTAACTTACCAAACTACAGCTACTAAACTAAATTTAATAGCAGTAGTTGATTTGTACACAACTAGTTTACAAACTAAACTTTAGTCTGAAATAAAGAATCTGTGAGAATAAATTATTGGAAGACCAAATTAACCTCACTGGATCAAAACCTAACAACTGACTTGAGAGCAAGATGACATTCAACCAACAGCATTGAAAGTGTGTGCAAATATCAACCAGAGGAGGAGGCCAGAGAGAGTCCAGAAGATCTAGGACTGTGGAGCTTTCTCCCAATTGTAACAAGTCAAATAAACATTTAATTGCCAAATAACTGTTCTGGTTGTTGATTTCAATTTTCAAAATGAGTTACTGATATATTCTTGTTCCTTTTGTCTTGTTTAATAACAATAAGCATTATATTCACTTTTCAATGCCAGGGCTTTCTACCCATTTACAGGAAAAATCAAGTTGTATTTGCTGCACATGTTGTCAATTTGCTGAAGTGTTCTGAACCCAAATACACATTTTTTATTTATTAATGTATATTTTTGGAGCTATAATAATTTTGTGGTTTAAATTCACATAAAGCATTCATTCACATTCACAGACCTCAAACTTTAACCTGGTATTTCTTTCATGTGGATAGGAACATTATATAGGCAGCTTAACAAACTTAAACCTTATACAGTATCATCAAAATTTTAGATTCTGCTTCAGGTAGAAAGTAGCTTGGGCAGGGGAAATTCTAGTAATTATTTCTAGAGACTTTTAAAAATCAAATGATAAACTAAATCAGCAATTCGATAGTTTAATAGCAATTTTAAAATATTAGTTCCTTATATTAATGCATATCATGACCTCTTTAACCCGTAACTGCACCGAGTCATACCTGAGCGGGCGCAGGGTTCGGAGCAGACGCAGCACCCTGAGAATGCCCAGGATCCTGTTTCCTCCAGGGTTGGCCAGAGTCACCAGAATGTCCACCATAGACACAAACACCAGCAGACCGTCCAGAATGTTCCAACTGGACTGAAGGTAGGTCTGTGGGCCGAAGCAGAAGCCCAGAGCCACCACCTGAAAAAAGAGACAGCGTTATATATCACTCTTGTACTGCAATTAAGATAAGGTAAGCTAGGATAAGTTGTAGTATATCATGATATGGTTTTGTGAGGAGAAAAACTTTGACCATATGTGTTGATTAAAGGTCCTATATATTACACAAAATTGACTCTTACCATGTTATAATGCTGTTACTTCTTAAAAAACATACCAGGACCTTGTTTGAGTAACGCTTTATTATTTGTCTATATCTCCAAAGCTCAAAATGTTGGGAGAAGAACTAAATATGCAGGGTTTAAGCGTTAAGCATATGAGAATTAAACAAAATGCAGCTCTGGGTTTGTTTTAGATGAGGAAACAACATCATAACATGCCATATTTTAACCGGATTATAAGGCGCAATATCAATAATGTTGAATTCTCTCGTCTATTTTCATACATAAGGCGCACCGGATTATAAGGCGCATTAAGCAAAACAAACGGACGACACTTGAGACTGATCCCTTAGCCCAGACATCCACGATCCATTGGCAGATCGTGGCATAACTCGGCCGGTGTTGCCTCCCTGTCTTGGTAAATGTGTATTATGAATTTGAATATAGGTGGATAATTTAAGTTTGTTTAAATATACATTGACTAATAATGTGTTTAATGCAGCTTTGCGCACATTTGTTTATGTTTTACAGAATCGAAACTTAAAACAACATAGCTAATTTGCATAAACTATGTAAGGAATATGTGTGTTCATTCTGTGACAGAGGATGTGCTGCTGATGGTGAGCCAGTTCTCTGCTTCTATCGCGTTGGAAATGGTTCATGTTAAACTTTTCAGAGATTATAAATCTGCAGGTCAAAGGCTTAGACTGTATATATTAATGTACATATATTCTCTATAGCATTTTATCGATGTCATAAATGCCAACACAGAACTATACTTTGCCTTTTACTCCGCGAGGCTCCTGACTATAGTCGCAGTAATGCTCTGACAATTCATCAAGTGGTGCGGTTTTGAAGCTTACCAAAGTCGTACTAAAATATTTTGACAGATTTTTGAGCACCGTGTATCACATAAAATTGATTCAAAGTCAGTAAGCACAACCAGAATTAACACATACACTGGGTTATAAGGCGCACTGTCGATTTTTGAGAAAATTTAAGGATTTTAAGTGCGCCTTATAGTCCAAAAAATACGGTAAATCAGAGAATAGCATAATATTGGCCCTTTATGTTTGAACAGTATTGAGATTCAAATGTGTTATACTTTTTATCAGCATATATTCAAAGGGCAGAGAGTAATTTCAAGGTGGACTGTGTACCTTTTCTGGTAAAGAATTTGCTATTTACTTTTATCTAGGGAGATGTATTTGCTTTATGTTACAGGGCATGCTATAATGGCATTTATTTATCTATCTATGAAGACAAGGACACTGTAAGAATTTGTATTTCAAGTTTTTTTAAGCAGCAAAATCACCTGTAATTGAATTCATACAATATTTATGTAGTTTAATTCAATATTGTGGAACATTACTAACAATAATATCGAGCTGGTGACAAACATTCCACCAGGAAAGTGATATAATGCATCTTTAAACGTGCAAAAAGTATTAATATGACCCGATTAGCAGCTTAAATAACACAAGAATTCAATGCATTTCAGAATAATACTACACAACAGGGTCAAGACTCTATACAGACAGAATATGTTGTTGTTTGGAAGGACTTTACTCTTTAGGACTGGCTTTAAATCCTTGCTATGACATATAGAATAAAACCAAATCACAAAATGTTTACCTTAATGGTCATCTCTGCTAGGAAGATCACAGTGAATACATAATTGGAGACGCTCAGGAACACCCGCTCCTGAAAACACACATCGACAACACGTGTCAGTTTAGTTTGTTTTAATAAAAAGAACATGACATTGAAAATAACATTAAAATAGTATGGGGAATTGTGGTCTATAACAGGAGGATTCGTTTACCGTGCTCTCTTTCTTTATGCCTGGCCGCTCCAAGGCGATGGTGATGCAGTTGAGGAAGATGAAAAACAGCACGATGTGGTCGAAGAGCTTGTGGGAAATGACCGATTGGCACCACGAACGAAACCTGAAAGTAAATAAAATGCGCAACCCATATTTTTTTACTCAAATCTGTATATTGGCACCCTAAAACTTTTTTTATTTACTATAACTTTCTAGTTTTATTATTCAGATGTTATTAGTACTCTATTCAATATATATTATGCAAAATTGTTGTTACCCCATGAAAAACAGATCTGGACTTTTTTTTTGTTTGTTTGTTTCACATGTTTGAGTAATCCTGGTTTATTAGTCTGTCTGCATCACCAAAACTCAAAATATTCTGTTCCACCTTGTGATGTCATGTAGTGGAGGAAGTAAACAGCTACCGTTTACCTTTTGTTCAGTGTGAGATTCAAAATTCGGGGCTGAAATTATCCAAATGATTCTAGTGAAGGTGCAGAAACACAGTGGAGCACTTCTTCTATTATGACATCACAAGGTGGAACAGTGTGTTTGAGAGAAAAACAGACTAAATACGCAAGATTTGTGTATTAAACAAGTGTCAGCAAAACAAAACACAACTCCAGGTTTGTTTTCGATGAGGAAACAACATTATAACATAGATCAAAAAACTGTGTAATATGGGCCTTGAATTAATTAATTAAAGTCATAATTTAGTAGTATTTATTTTTAGCAAGACTTAGGTAATATGTTTAAGTTTAAAAATAGGATCTAATACAAAATTTACTATACGGCTGTAGGCACACTTGGCCTAGTTCGGTCCGGTTAAGTCCTAATGTGGACTCGGTTTGGTCCTAGTTATGGTTTAGTTGTGGTCTAGTACAGGTTTAACCAGGTGAGTGCCACCTAGTGACTCCGCTCAATTTAATTTCTTTCCAGCGAATAGGTCAGGAATCGGAATACACTAGACGATTTCCAAGAACCCTGGAAGAGCAAGTTCAGGCACCAGTCAATCAGCGAAGAACAAAGAGAATGTTTGGTGAATTTTATCAAGGGGAAAGACGTTATTGCCCTTTTTCCTATGGGATTTGGGAAAAACTTAATATACCAGTTAGTCCTGTTAGCGGCACATATGTCATGACCAAATAGGAGCGATTGGTTAAATAAAAAAGTACCCGCCTAACGCGGGAGCGAACGAATCCTAACGCTGTGAGGTCAGACGGTTTCCAAGAAGTGAAACTGGCTGATGAATCAGGCTAGTACAGGTTGGTATTGTCTTATACAATGGAAACAGGGCAAAATTTATAATTCCTGAACCTATTTGCATCCAATTACTAAGCTGTTACGTAACTTAAAAATACACATATATATTTATTTTTTAGGGTAATGCTAATTACACTAAGCATAAACGCTGAGATGCTATTACAAGACTTCTAACTTTAATTTCCACATGTTCATGTTTAACTGTATAATACAACTTGGCATTTAACACAAATGGCATCTATATAAAACACAGAATAACAGAAAAGTGCGTATGACTTGACTGACCGGTTCTCAGGTGAAAACAGGTACAGGTTCCAGTCCTCGTGCTCTTTGCACCAACGCGGCTTCAGGTTCTGCAGCTCCCTCTTCACAAAGAAGCAGAACGAACTCTGAAAAGACAAAATAAAACACAAATATTCATAATGATTCAATATAAATACACAGGTTATATATAAAAATGTGATTTTAAGGTCAAAATGAGACCGCTGTGTGCTGTCTACATCTGTGTTCCTTTAGCAGTAGTGTGATGACAAAACTGCTTGGCCTCTCAAAGTTGTGAAAAGCACTTACAAATTTGTCATGGTTAATAATTTGGATGCTTGGAATGCATAAGGAAAGTGAAGAATACTTTCGGCCACTGCAAACCATTTAAAATTAGGTACGGCACCTTGAAGAGGCACTACACGCCTCTTGTTATTGTTATCACATTTGTCTACTGTGCCATTATTTCATCTATTCAAGTCATACTCCGTGTCGGGAACAAGAAGCAATCTGTTTTCTACAAATTTGTTTACTAGAAATTCACCTTGTTGTGTCACTTAAAAATAAATTTGCACTGCCTCTTACCACGCACATCAAACAACAACAACAACAACATTTCTGCGAAATATTGTTTCATTAATAAAAGCAAACTTGTTAGGTGGCATTTGAAATCTGACATCTTTTGAAAAACAGAACTTAAAATAAACACGCACACTCCTTTAAAGAGAGGGTACTGACTGCCAAGGAAGCTACTGCACATCGCATTAGGTTTGACAAGTTGCTGTGTACAGTTTTGTATCATGTTTATGTATATTTATGGAGAATCGTTCTGTGGGAGCATAAATGATGTAGGCTTGTGGGCTGAGTGTTGGACAGAAGCTGACCATAAGAAGGGTTTGAACATGGCCCGAGAGAGATTGCAAAATTATTCAAACATGCATGGATGGACTGCTAAAACCTCTTCAGGCTTGAGGGAACTATGCTGAACTGGGGCAAAACATGTTTTACTTTATTACAAAGCACATTAATTACAAACAATATCAACAACAGATCCCACCCACAATGTTTTTTTTTGTTTTTTTGAACTTTTATTGCCACAAATCAATTTGCATCAACAGTGTCCTGAGACCGGGCCTTCAAACTATTTATATATTCACTTTTTTCCCCCTCTTCCCCCCTCTAGAAGAAGAAAAGAGAGAAAAAAATGCAAAAAATTACATACCCCAAAATGTAGTTTGTAACGTAATCCATTAAATTACTTAAAGTGAGTAATGTAATCTGAATACTTTGAATTACTTGATATTGTCATGTTTTTTAAAACTACATGAATGTAGCAACCACATCCTGAAAATTCATGTTTGTTCTCTTCAAATTGTCTGTTGACCCCAAGTCTCCATGAACAGACTTTTGTTTTACTGTAGAGAAGAAAAGACTAGGATCTTAACATCAGATGTTTTATCTGCTAAAAGAAAGAAAAAACAAAACAAAACAAAAAAAAAAAAAAACAAAACAGACTTTACTTAACCAGATTAAAAATATTATTGATAGAGAAATGATTTTTATATGCGATCACTGTTGCCTGGATTAGTCCTGCTTTAGTACTTGTTTTAGTCCTGGTTTAGTCCTGGTTTAGTACTGGTTTTAGTCCTGGTTTAGACCTGGTTTAGTCCTGGTTTAGTCCTGGTTTAGTACTGGTTTTAATCCTGGTTTAGTCCTGGTTAGACCGGGTTTAGTCCTGGTTTAGTCCTGCTTTAGTCTTGGTTTTAGTCCTGGTTTAGACCAGAATGTGAAAACAGTACAATACCGCAGTGTAATCCATTTATTTCAACAAAGTAACTGTAATCCAATTACCACTCATGGAAACAGTAAGTGTAACTGAATAAAGTTACTCATTATTTGTACTCTGATTACGTAACTCCGGGAACATGTAATCTGTTACTCCCCAACACTGCGAGAGAGACCATCAGGAAATATATCAAGCAAAAATATCTTTGGGTCCATCAACAGGTCCACAGCCAATATATTTTGTAGAACATCTTTAACATCAATCTAGAAATGTTTTATATCGGGGCAGTCCCAAAATATGTGAGTCTGGTCGCCCACAAGTCCACACTTCCTCCAACATTTGTCACTAAGACTACATTTAGAAATAAAAGTTTTCAGTGGGGTTTTAAAGAATTTTAAAACCCACAATGTTATAAGAACTTTTCAATCCCTTTAAAATGCAGCTGAAATCCATAATGTCTTCTAAACGAGACTCACTTAAGCACAGACAGAAAATATTGGCTTATTCGCAGCTTCTCGGCCCATCTTTGAGTTCGAGACAAGCGTGGTCAAACTCATTACAGCTTTCCAAAGAAACACAACCAAAACAAACAGAATTAAGCTTAAAGGTGCACAGAATGCTAACTTGACATGTCCAATTAAACACAGTCTAAATTGAGGCTCCACGCTCCCTGCTTTTCTGGCTCTGTGCCTCTTGCGCGTCTCTGTGTGTGTGTGTGGACTGCATGAAAGCTCCTGAGTCAGTTTATATTCAAAAAGCTCCTGTTCTTCACACGGACGCATAGGAAAAGACGTAAAGTTAAAGGGTATAAACCAAGCTGTCCTGGCTGCCTGTGATATAAGGGACGACGTTTGGTTTATGTTTAAAAGAGGATTATAAGAAAAGAAAATAGCATAACACATAAAAAGACATAAACACAAGCAATAAAAGACTAAAAATAGTGTTGTTAAGATTCTAAAATTTCAAAATGGATTTGGGGCTAAGAAAAATGTTGATACTACAATGTAAAAGCGCAAAATACAACCGGGTGGTGAAAAAATTTATAAAGACTACTATAGAGTGAATTCCACAGGATAATCAAGCTTTTAATACCATAGAATTAAACTAAATATAATGACTTCCTTCATTTTACTATGTGGTCATATGACTTTTAAAAATACTAGCTCAAATTTTTTGTCCAAGATTCTGTGTGGATTAGAACAAAAAATATCAACATAAAAAAGAAAAAAGCAAGATATTGCAAGAGAAATAGAGAGAAAAAAATCATCAATGCCAGTGTTATCCATACTGAATGAAACAAAATTACCAGGGGCAACAGAAAAGCACCAAGGACAATGAACCGAGACAAGGGACCTTTACTTTATTGCACACCTGGGACACATTAATGGAGGTCAGACAGATCATTACGTGACAAAAGTAGCTTGGCAAAAACTAGTTTATAGTCCAAAGAGGTTAAATTGTTGTTTTTTTCTTCATGGTCTTCTCTTTCATTAGTTATTCTTTTTTTTTCTTTTTTTCAGAGAGAGTTTGTTTGCATATGATGTGTCTGACAGTTTCGACTGCTCACTAGTGTGTCTGCTCTGCACTCTGCTGTCTCTGATGTTTGCATGACAGTTTCGACTGCTCACTAGTGGTCTTCCTCACGTGATGCTGCTGATGTTGCTGTGACGGGTCTGGTCAGCTGATTTAAACACATTTTGGCACTGTCTTTTTACCGGTGGAGGCAGGAGGACAGTGCCATCTGTAGTCCGACTGGGATACTGTTCTGGGGAAGTCGGACTGCAGATGGCGCTCTCATCCTGCCTCCTCAGGCATGAAAACAAACTCTTGGTCTGAAAAAAGAACCTAATTATATAAAAACTAGTCTAGCAATAAAATCACTATCTTTAACTTCTTGGGTTCTTTTCATGTTTCGGCCGCTGCTGTAAACCATCTTCAGAACTGTCCCCGGTGTTGGTGGTGAAATGTCGTAGATCAGCTGTTGTTACTTCCTGTAGGCGTGGTCAGCCTGATGGACCTGCAGGTCGCTCAGACTGACCACGCCTCCCGTCGCCCGGTGTTCTCTGGAGGAGGGTGTCCCAGGTGTGTGAAAGGTGAAACGCTTCGTCATCACGGTTAATGCTGTCTGTGCCACGTCACCACCAACACCGGGGACAGTTCTGAAGATGGTTTGCAGCAGCAGCTGAAACATATCAACAAGGTAAATACACTTTACTGTATTGTCTTTAAAAAGAACCCAAGAAGTTAAAGTACATAAGAAGACAAAATGAACATCTCTGGCTTAAAAATACTATCTTGTTTAATAAAATAAACTAGTAAGGGAGAAAATTAAAATTAAATTAGTTAAAATTAAAGTCCATGTATTTGAGCCAAATTTGTCTTTCTCCAGTACAGCTACAGTATATTGTAAGCAGCTCTTGAGGTCAAAATTATCATCTATAATTAGTCTTCTATTAATCTAGTAATTTATTGTTATCAGGAAGTATGTGTTAACATGCTAGTTGTTGTTGCTAGCCTTAGTTTTAATTTTTCATTCCACACTCAGCACTCTTCTCTCTAGTTTTATCTCTCTCTCTTTTTAATTTTATGATGATTATTTATGTTTTGATTTGTTTTTATTGTCATTTTAACACATTTCTTATTCTGTAAAGCACTTTGAATTACTTTGAGTATGAATTGTGCTATACAAAGAAACTCGCCTTGCCTTACTGTACGGTGAAAGCTCCACTCTGGTCTCTGGACTCACTGTGGTGAATAATTAGGATGCTCAGAATGAGAATAACTGAAGAAAATTAAATACAGTATCTTGTAGTATCCAATAATATTTGATCCAAGAGTGTCATGGTGAATCCAAAACAACATCCACCCAACCCGCAGACTGCGCACTGTATCAACTCCCCCATTTCTAGACAGCCCAGGGACAAGCCTTTTGTTTCAGAGGATTTCATGCTTTTGCAAACTCAATTTAGACTCAATAAAACAATCATCGCCGCTGCAGAGGTCAGAGGAAACCACCCGGGGGCGATAAAACCCGAACTGGAGCCTATTTCGCACAATAACTGTACATGCTCTAGCGCTAAGGAGAGACTCGCTCCCAAACTCAATGACACGACCGTCCCCCTTGGCTGTAATAAGAAAACAAAACACTCGCAAATCGCATCCGGAAGTTATGTGGTGACAAAGGACAAATAAGACAAGAGGGATTGGGAGTGAAAGAAAAAAAAAAAGGAGTCTAAACAAACAGAGAGGCAGATTAAGTGATTAAGAAATTACATAAGAGCGTGAAAAGCACAAGGCAGCTGCTCAGCAAATGTGTCAGTGGATCTACAGGGAGAGTGCAAAGCAAGCTAAAGAGCTATACTGTAGTCGCTGCTTGTGTGAGCTGTGAAATAAAGGGCAAAAAGATATGAATACAGATCACAGAGTATGAAATTGGTTTGAGTTTGTTATTATGACTGTTTTATTTTAGTATTATTTGGCATATAAAGTGGTTTTGCTGAATAATTTGAAAGCTGCAATAGGTTAAAGCCAACCTTTGCCACTATTTTGAATCCCAAATGTCAAAATAGTCTAAAATCTAATTATATATACTACTAAAGGTGCACTGTGTAACTTTTCTGGTGGCGGGTCTGTTACCTCCTTGTCTTCATGAAGATGTTACTACTTGAGGGTGACCAGACCAGTCCCTATTTACCCAGGACAGTCCCAGTTTTGAGTCTTGTGTCCCCTGTCCCAGCAGATTTATACAAAACCAGTCATTTGTCCCAGTTTTATGTTCTATTCTGACCAATTTGATCTAAACCAGGACTAAACTAAACCTAAACCAGGACTACACCAGGTCTAAACCAGGACTGAAAACAGGAATATCACAATTTTTGACTAATTAGATCCCTGCCAACAGTAAAGAGGATCATAAATTGTAATTTGTTTGGTCAAAATACAGAAAACTGTGTTTGCAAATGACCATAAAACAAAAAAAACAAAAAAAAAAAGCAGCATCAGAAGAGAATGCAAAATGTTACAGTCTCTTTTCACAATTTTATTTATATCAACTAGTATAGTAGTCAAGACCAATCGAGACCAAGACCTGTCTGAGACTACAGGGTCCCGAGACCAGGACAACACCAAGACCTCTGAGGGTCAAGACCGAGACAAGACCAAGACTTTTAAAGGCTGAGACCGAGACAAGACTGAGACCACAGGCCATCAAGACCAAATCGAGACCCTCTTTGTAATTTTTGACATTTATTTATATTTCACAGTTATTTTGACACATATATATCAATGTTTTTATAAATCTATCTGCATTTTATGACTCATCAAGTGTCAGACTTCGAGACTGAGACAAGACCGAGTCCAAGCACCTTCGAGACCGAGACAAGACCGAGTCCACAAAAAAATGGTCTCAAGGCCGGTCTTGAGTACTACAACACTAATACCAACCATCCCAATGTGGGTGTTTCCCAGCTTTTAATTTTGAAAATCTGGCCACCTCAGATTACTTGGTCCAGAATGCTCCACAGTATTGCATTAATCACCGTCATCATCTATCACCACGGAGACAAAAAAATGGCACCACCAAGCCAAGTTACACGCTAGATCTGTGGAGAGGCGACCGTGCTCATGTTTTTTAAGTAATAAAAACTCCTGTAATTGAAATTTAATACTACTGTGGAACATTTCGAGCAAAGTAATAACCCTCCACCAGAAAAGTTACCCAATGCACCTTTAACTTTGTCATAAATATAAAAATATATGATTTAGGTAGTTAAAGATGATGTTGGAACTGAAAGCTAATCAAAAGTGCTTCTCAGTGGATTTTTACGCACAATATCATACTGTAAAAACGAACTTGTCTTTTTCTTTTTCATTTCAACATTTCTTTAATGGCCTGAATCAGTCTGGTGACCGGTGGCATTACGATCACGTGTTTGCCCAATACGTTCAATCATTTATACATAAATGGACTTTATGTGTAATTGATAGTGCCCTGAAGGATGGTCATTTCTGAGCTGCTCCTTTTCAATATTTATTCGACTATTTCAATTATTTATTTAACTATTAACATTCAAATTACCCTCCAGATGCCAGTATAAGTGATACAGTATACAGATGATGGTTTATATATAAAAGTGACATTTTGGAGCTTTTAACCATGTTATAATTGTTCTTTCTTCTTGTTTAACCAATCAAAGTATGTAGTATTATTATTTATTGTATTGTTTCATGCAGGTTTGTGTAATCTTAATTCTCCTGCGTTCAGTAAGTCATTGCTCTCATCTACCTCGTTTCCACCTCTACGATACACACCCATTGCTCCGTACTTACTTTGTTCTTTGTTTTATTTTCTTAATTGGTGATGCAAGTAGAACATCACGCAGCCATTTAGGCACAAATGGAAAAAAAGAAAAGTCCAATAAAAGTCCTAGCGTGATCTATTTGATGGCACGACAGCATGTGGGACTTTGTTGTGATGACGTTCATGGCAATTTTCCAACTAACCAACATTGTGTCTCCTTAAAGTATAAGTAAGTAATGCTTCACTTTTATTTGACGTTACTTACATCGTCATCCAGCTCATCGTCATTGGCGTCATCTTTGAGGTCAGGGCTTATGTTTGGAGGTTCGTAGATGGTCCTCCCGTTGCAGTCCCCGTATTCAGTCACTATGGAGGGGCACAGCGTAGACGCCTGCAGGATCTCCAGAGACGCGGGCCGTAGTCTGTTGTTGGCTGCGTCCTCTTTCTCCTCTTCTTCTGCATTCTCCTCCTCCGCTCCTCCCTCTCCGTCTCCAGACAGCAGGCTCTCCCTCTCTCCGCTGGTGTCCCGTCTCTTGAGGCTCGGGGCTCTTGACAGACTGTTCCAGCTGGAGCGGCGGCTGCCCCACGAGCTTCCTGTCCCGCGGGGCAGAGCCGGAGAGCGCCGCCCGGGACTGGAGATGCTCTGCTGTGAGATAAGGACAGGCATATTAAAGAACAGCACTTCACATGTTTGCTGGCAGAAGTAAACTGAGCAGATGCTTGGGGTCACATCTGCTACTATGGGGCCTCCACAGCTGAATGTCTTCTACTAAAAACTACTTACAAATTAGTTTTTGCATCTCTGATCATAAATGCACTATGCTTTGTGTAAAAACTTTTGTATGATGATGTTGTAGTAGTTAGAAGTAGTTTGTAGTAGACAGTAGTAACTAGAAGCTGTACAAGTTGTACTATGGGTAAAAGTAAACAGATTTTCTGCTGCAGTCATTTGTGCCACCTTTAAAATTCATTTGACACTGCCTTTATCGGGTTTACATGCGTTTCATATAATGTATTTTTTGGACTATAAGTTGCACTTTTTTTTCGTGACTTGGATGGGTCTGCAACTTATACTCAGGTGTGATTTATATATTAAAATATATAATTTCACATGTTTGTTCTTTTTTCACACTGACAGGTGTGAGAGGCTCGAGGCTTGTGTGTCAGTATCTGCTGCTCCTATTACTCCTGTACCACTGTCACTTCTCGCGCTACTGCACATGTGTTCTGCAGAAAGAGCTGCTGTCTTGCTGCAAGTAGTGAAATATGCAGCCGAAAATGGTAATCGAGCAGCAGAAAGAAAGTTTGGAGTGAGTGAGAGACGTGTGAGGGACTGGTGAAAAACAGAGGATACTCAAACTGCAATGAAGAAAACAAAAAAACGAATCGCGGGCTAAAAGATAGATTTAGTTAGAGTTGCTCAGAAGTGACACCAAGAATGAAGAATTCAATAGATTTAGTGATTTGGACTGAGATGGAGAGTTTAGTAAACTTCTTCTGTTCTGTTGTTTATAGGACAGTTATCTGAAGAACTGTAACGTTTACATACCAGATGCCTATTCAGCCTGTTATTCCCTGTTCTGTTGTTATTACTGTAAGTTGCCTTTCAAGATGAAATGTCAGTTCCTGGTCTCTGATTTTATAAAAAAAAATTTCCCCCAAAAATGCGACTTGTAGTGCAACTTACATGTTTTTTTACACATTTTTTGGCTTTTCATTACACATTTTTTGGCTGGTGCGACTTATACTTTGGAGCGACTTGTAGTCTGGAAAATACGGTAGTCAGTAACCTGAGAATGAGCTTGTGTATTATATAAAACACGGTTAATAACACGTGCAGCAACGTGATTAGAACAGTTATTATTGTGGTTTTTAAGTCGTGTGCCACTGGAGTCACTCTCTTCCTCTCCATGGACCAGAGCCTCATTACAATTCATTTCCGAAGTTATATAACTTTGTTTAAAATTAGGTCTAAATTATATTGTTTCGTTTTAATATTTCTAATGCAATAATTAACTAAAACTTTTATAAATTACATTGCGCCTGTTAAATCCCCAGTCATGTGACATTCAGCTATCAGCACTGCCACACCAAGAAGAAACACTGAGTAGCAGTTGCATATACATAAAATGACAATTATTCGTAATATTTTTGTGTGATGAAGAGCTTGGCCCGAGGCGTCGCATTTTAGTGTCATTGAAGTAAAGGTTTGGGAGCTTCAAAGAACTGCAGTGTGGATCTTTCGTTTTTTTTGCACTTAATTTTTTTGTGACAACTCAATAAAGATCTAAATTAAGATGTTGGAAGAAAAAAGTTACTCAAAATTAAAACCCCCAAATCTGCTTGTTGAGGAGAAATTATAAACCACATGTGTCACTGTCTGTTGTTAATTTATTTTTGTTTCATTACTTTTGATCAGTCTAGAAATGATTTAAGATTATACTTCCTTGAAATATTGATGATCTAATTCTAAGGGATGAAGAGTCTTTGCAAACAAAGAGCCCCCAAAGGAGCCTCAACAAATCTAGAAACAACCCTGGCAGCACTTTACAACATCAACTTCAATATTTACACTTCTGTCTATTACTCACCAAAGAGCGCTGGTCGTACGCTATGGGGTCAATGGACGGTCCTGCCCCCCGAGACTCTGCGTTGACACTCCCGCTTTCGGACAGAGAGATGGCGTCCCTGAACAGCTGCTCGTCGCCCAGGATGGAGTCGGGCCCCAGCGAGCTCTTGGGCGTGGGCATGGGCGTGGCCGCGGTGTGCATGATGATGGGCGGGGCCATGGAGCCGCGATCCACGTGCCCATTGGCGGTCATCATTAGGGAGTACATCTTCAACTCTGTACAAAAAAAAATAAAAAAATATATGTTGGGTTCAATAAATAATATAAAGCACAGGTGTCAAACATAAGGCCCGGGGGCCAGATCCGGCCCTCCAAGACCTTTAATGTGGCCCTTGGGTGGTTTTCTACTAAAATATTTTAAATGTTGAAATTTTTCTTAAAGTTTCAGGTTGTTCATAATATTATAATATAAAAAATATATAAAAAATATTTCTGTAATAGATTTGCGTTTCTCTGCACAAATATTTGAACTTATATTATTGTTATTTTTGGGGTTTATATTCCATGAGTTTTCTGATCCGGCCCCTTTGGGATCAAAATGGGTTGGATAAGGCCCCCGGACCAAAATGAGTTTGACACCCCTGATATAAAGAGACAGTTTAAAATTTTGCTGTGGGCTGGGGTGGAAATCTCAGGTTGAATTTAGGCTTTTGATCCACAAGGGAAATTACACGCTCCCAAAATGCATTATGATTGCAATGAAATTCAAAATAATTAAAACTGCAAAAATTGCAAAGGGTAAATAAGGCACAAATATAAGAGTTTTGCGTATTTTTATATATCGGACATAGAGAAGAGGTAGTGAGGTAAGGAAGATGAAAATAATCGCTTTGACATGGCATAAAGCTTTCATACATAAGGCTGAGTTGTGAATTAACATTTGAATTAACATTTAATATAGATTCAGTCAGAAAAAAGAGAAATGCAGTATAACTTAGCCTTAGACAAACTTTATTGATCCACAAGGGTAATTATTTGGACACAGTAGCTCAGTGTTTCTCAAACTTTTTCTCTGGGGACCCATATTTTAAAAGTCACAAACCTTCGCGACTCAAGTCAATAGACATTATTCGTAAATCATAAAATAAAGATGGATTTGACCATTACTGAACATTAATGAGGATACTTTATTGTTGACTGAGTGATCGTGTCTCTCTGAACTCAAGTTTTAAACCATGAAAAACTGTAATTGAACCAGCAATAAAAGGATCCATAAGTCGCCTATTTGGACATTAAATGTAGCCCATTTCTTTTTCTTTTCAACATTCAATTGAACCAGCAATATTGGAACAAAACAGTCAATAAAATAATTACAAAAAGATTAGAAATTTTAATATTTCTAATGAGATAGGTAGGCCTGTCTGCGTTTTTGTAGCGTGTTCCAGTCCGGTGTGCAGAAGGAGAGTGCAACATATCAGGCGTATATAATAATACAAAATAAATAATAAATCATTAAAAAAAACATTCTAATAATAATAACAATCTAATGAATAAAACCAGCAAGAGACTGGTGTCAAAGAAGGCATAATTATAAAAATGTATATGTACAAGTCAAAATAAAATAGAAAAATAAGCTTGGATATGGAACTTTTTAAAAATTACTGCTAACACTTGCCTCCAAATTGGTACAGATTTTTTGTCTGGCCCATGAACCAACTTAATAAACGCAGAATCGCAAATTTAATGCCATATTGTGGAACATTCTAGGCACAGCAACAGCAACTCTACGGAGACAAGCAGGTGCCAGACGCTGGGGATAGATCTAAATGGATTTTTTGAGCCGATACCACTTTCACTCATGAGTCTGGTATTGACTGTTTATATCGAAAATTGATATATGCCAACGTGAAATTGATATCAACAGATTGGTATCGATATCAGCCGATAATGGACCCGCTATATCGCTCATCCCGACCAGATGCTCTTCCAGAAAACTTACATATCACCTTCACGTTGCACCTTTAAATCCTTTAGTTAGATTCAATTCAAGATGCATTTACCTGTGTCTCGTAGCTGCTCCACTTTTTCATCCTCGGAAAAGTTGTCAGATTTCCCCTCGTCGTCCGATTCGGAGCGATTTGCATCTCCCTGTGAAACGCCAAAGAGCAAACATTAGTGTTAAATCTGATTTCATTCCTGTTTGCCGTCTTGGTAATGTCTTTTCATGTCGGTAGACTGAAGTACTTTTCTGTTATGTTCTTTGTAATGATATCTCCTCCCTCTACTGCCCCGACCCCACTCACAAAGGGACAGTTTGGAGAAGGGGCCTCGGACCTCTTTGCTCAGCTGGGAGCTAATTAAAAGTAACTGGAGGTCCTTCCACAAACCCACCCGAGTGCGCCAAAAAAGACTGTTCTGTTGAGACTTCGTTTGTTCTCGGTGCATCAGACTGACATCAAAACTCAGAATACTGCTATTTTTCACTTTATTTTATAACTTGAATTGTCCTTTATCTTTATTGTATTTAAATAGGATATGACTTTTAACCATAAAGGGACTGGGTAAGCTGTTTTGTGGTATTACTTTTATGGTTTTATGGTTTTATGGTTTTATGGTTTTATGATATACCTTTTTGCGCTTTCTACTAAGGATGAAAAAATAAACAAAATATCGTGATATGGTCAAAAATCTCACAATATATCAAACTAAATGAATAATTATGGTGCAGCAATAGCTAAAAAAAAGTATCCTTTGCTCTGTTTCAGTACAGCCTAAATGAAGAAATAACTTATTAAACACTTTTAAATCTTAATTTTTGGATTGTGACAAACCTTTTAAAATTCTGTGACAAGACTTTGGTTCTAAGTAGCATATTTACAATTCTGTTATGTCGCAATAGATATCGTATCGTGTGGTCCTGGTTTGAGTCTCGGTTTGAGTCTTGGTTTGGTCCTGGTTTCAGTCTTGGTTTACATCTTGGTTTGAGTCTTGGCTTGAGTCTAGGTTTGAGTCCTGGTTTGAGTCTTGGTTTGAGTCTTGGCTTGAGTCTTGGTTTGAGTCTTGGTTTGAGTCTTGGCTTTGGCTTGGTCCTGGTTTGAATCTTGGTTTAATTCTTGGTTTGAGTCTTGGTTTAAGGCTTGGTTTGAGTCTTGGTTTGAGTCTTGGTTTGAGTCCTGGTTTGAGTCTTGGTTTGGTCCTTGGTTTGAGTCTGGTTGAGTCTTGGTTTGAGTCTTGGCTTGAGTCTTGGCTTGGTCCTGGTTTGAATCTTGGTTTAATTCCTGGTTTGAGTCTTGGTTTACATCTTGGTTTGAGTCTTGGTTTGAGTCTCAGTTTGGTCCCTGAGTCTTGGTTTACATCTTGGTTTGAGTCTTGGTTGAGTCTTGGTTTGAATCTTGGTTTGAGTCTTGGTTTGAGTCTTGGTTTACATCTTGGTTTGAGTCTTGGTTTGAGTCTTGGTTTACATCTTGGTTTGAGTCTTGGTTTGAGTCTTGGTTTAGATCTTGGTTTGAGTCTTGGTTTGAGTCTTGGTTTACATCTTGGTTTGAGTCTTGGTTTGAGTCTTGGTTTGAGTCTTGGCTTGAGTCATGGCTTGGTCCTGGTTTGAATCTTGGTTTGAGTCTTGGCTTGAGTCTTGGTTTGAGTCCTGGTTTGAGTCTTGGTTTGAGTCTTGGTTTGAGTCTTGGCTTGAGTCTTGGCTTGGTCCTGGTTTGAATCTTGGTTTAAGTCCTGGTTTGAGTCTTGGTTTAAGGCTTGGTTTGAGTCTTGGTTTGAGTCTTGGTTTGGTCCCTGTTTGAGTCTTGGTTTAAGTCTTGGTTTGGTCCCTGTTTGAGTCTTGGTTTAAGTCTTGGCTTGAGTCTTGGTTTGAGTCTTGGCTTGAGTCTTTGTTTGGTCCTGGCTTGAGTCTTGGCTTGAGTCTTGGTTTGAGTCTTGGCTTGAGTCTTGGTTTGAGTCTTGGCTTGAGTCTTGGCTTGAGTCTTGGCTTGAGTCTTGGTTTGAGTCTTGGCTTGAGTTTTTGTTTGGTCCTGGCTTGAGTCTTGGTTGAAGTCTTGGCTTGAATCTTGGTTTCAGTCTTGGCTTGAGTCTCGGTTTTATCCTGGTTTGAGTCTCGGTTTGGTCCTGGTATGGGTCTTGGTTTGAGTCTTGGTTTGGTCCCTGTTTGAGTCTTGGTTTAAGTCTTGGCTTGAATCTTGGTTTGAGTCTTGGCTTGAGTCTTGGCTTGGTCCTGGTTTGAATCTTGGTTTGAGTCTTTGTTTGTGTCTTATTTACACCTCGCCTAGTCCAGGTTTAGTCCCAGTTTAGTCCCAGTTTAGTGAATTTTACAGTGGTCTTTCTGCAAATGTTAAATTGAAATGAGAAAAATGGACTTTGCATAAAATACTCCATTGAAACACAAGTCAGCATTTGGTTTTATCGTCTCTTCTATTGTTTTTAATTGCTGCGAATGGAGACCAAGACCATTTCTTTCTATTATTGCAGATATAAAACAAACAGCCACCTTTTATTCACATACTATAAAAAACAGCTTTAAGTCATTGCATTAAAATTTCAACAATTTCTTTCTTTTATCATGACCACAAGTGATATTTTTCCAGCAAATTAAATTGACTCAAAGTGGTGCCCTGGAGGAACACTTTACACAGTTGAAATACAGTCAGGCCGATCCAATAAACCGAACCCCGAAGGTTTAAACCATCACCCGCACTCATTGACGACGGCCCTGTGTAATAAATGCAAATGAACAACGCCGGCTGTTTCTCTTACCTCGGCCTGGAAGCCCTCCACCAAAATGGCCACCAGCAAATTGAAGAGCACGTAATTGCCGAACGTCATGAGGGCCACGAAATAAAGCGCTGCCCACGAGGAGGTGGAGGCCATGCCGTTGTACAGGACCACGTTCCAGTCCTCTTGGGTCAGGATCTGCAGAGTGAACACAGCACGGAAATGAATGCAGGGAAATATGAGGTAAAGGAGAAAACGGGGACAATAGGTAAATATTAGCAGTATATTACCGTATTTTCTGCACTATAGGGCGCTCTGGATTATAAAGCGCACTGTCACCGAATGGTCTATTTTCTGAACTTTTTTCACAAATAAACCGCACCGGACTTTAAACGAAACACAACAGTTCGATGGGTGAGTCGGACTTTGTTTGTGGCGTTCACGGTGACTCTGGGCTTTGTTCAGTTGTGGCGTGTAGGGAGGGGGCTGTCTGGGACCGCTGGATTGTCGGCGTGTTCTCAGTGACTCAGTTGTTCAGTCGTGTCTAGAAGCGGCACATTGCACTCGCTTTTTCGGTTTGTTCCTCCGTTCCATTCCTCGTCGGCGTGGAGTGATGAGTGTGGCTGTGGGTGTTTTTCGCTGCACGGTTGCGGTCTGCTCCGTGTGTGTAGTTTACTGAAGTCATGCTGGGACACCCGAGTGGATTCGTGTATAGGGCGCTCTGGATTGCAGGGCGCACAGTCGTTTTTTGATGGGGTTGGAGGCTTATAGTGCGGAAAATACGGTATCTCACTGAATAATTCTCAGAAGCCATTTTTTCCCCATGTATTTCAGTAACATTTGTGTTATATAAACAACTCTTGAGGTTAAAATAAGTCCGCTGCCTGCGATCTGCATCTAATTAGAGAAGCATTTTATTGGCCAATAATCCGAAAGCGCACGTTACCATTAGCTTTAACATCAGGGGAAAACTCTGCTCTGTTGTGAGTTGTGAAAAGGGCTTATAAACTCATCACTATGAATAATTAGGATGTTCCAAATGCATAAAAATCTGTTATAGCACCATTAATATTAACAGATACAGACAACATTTTAATTACTTTTGAACTTAATATTATTTTGAAGGTTTATTCATGTTTTTTGAAGGTTTTGTTGACATCTAATGAGATCTGATTTGTTTAATATATATTGTAACTTATAGTCACTTATAGTTCCCAAATCATCCTTCAAGTCAATGGACGAGCTCAATGGCGCATGACTCCAGATTCACCTTTAGCCGGATAGGACCTCCGGTGGCTCTGGGCCGATTGAACATGCGCAGTAGTGCTCTTTTCTCCCTTTTCTCCCACACGCCAATAAATGCAAGCGCATGCATGGAGCGTGGTCTCGTGTATCACGTGATCGTGTTGACCAATGAGAGCAAGAGGAGCTTGAGCGGAGCTGGAACTAACAATTATTAAGCATTTTTTAAGACAACTGAAGGATTTTTAGCTGAGAAAAAGTTATATATGATAGGTAAAAATGGTCACAAAATCCGACGTTTTTAAAAGTTGTAGGTGCCCTATCCGCCCAACACGAGCAATTTGTGATTACATTGTGCTCTATGAGAAAAATCCTCTCTCAGCCCAGAGGATTTTTTTCTACTGAAATACCAATGAGTGGGCACTACGTAAACTGGAGGCAGCTACAAGCAGCAAAACCCTCCAGTTATTTTAACAGATCCATGACTAGGCTCTATTCACGTTACGTCACAAACCAGGAAGACGGAAAGATGCGATTAAAACTTCCAGCGGGATCTGTTCGCAGTAATAAGTCTGACAAAATGTAGGAAAAATGAGAAACTGGCCGAGTTTTCTTCATCCACATGTCATTGTAGTGTCCCATTATGTTCGGCTAATCAGCAATTACAACAATACATCAGTTTTTATCATTTGCCCACTGACACACAACTCTGAGCGCACTGGGTACATGCGATTAGGAGAGATGAGAGCACCAAATCAAGATGATTCCAAACAGCACATACGTCTGCAGCCTTCATTTTAACGCTAATAACATTTACTTCAATTAGTTTTATCATTATCGGTAGGCAACCCCAGTGTCGGGAACTACACCGGAAGTTGTCATCGCATGTTTCCAAACGTCTTCCTGGTTTGTGACTGGTCCTGGTTTATAGAAACTCCACACAAAAAGCGAATTGAACCCAAAACATGAGTGCTATTTTTTGTTAAATTTGCTACAGCTACAATATCATCCATAATCTACAACAACATTTTCTTTCCTTATTGAACCTTGCCCAAGCTGCATCTGTTTCCACTATAAAACAACACCTGATATATACACGGGTTTAGTATGAGAAGCATTATCAGCATGAAAAATGAAAGCTTTTAAAACGGTGCAGGAGAAGAAGCGCTCCATGTCTGCTTACTTAACAAACCCCTATAGACCACACAGTAACATTGACGCCTTTCTGGAACACTGCAATAACTATACTTTTAGTCCAACTTTTAAACCACATTTCGGGACAAAAAACGCTACTTCAGCATCTCTATACCCACTGGTGCACAGAGCCCCTTCCTCTCTGCTTTCTCTGTCACAGTTGTGCTGAGACAACCACTAGAGGAAAGGAGGACGATATAGAAAATATATAGAGCAATTTGAGCATGTGTGTCGTGTGCATGCAAGCAGGACGGAGGATTATGAAGCAGAGAGCCGGTGAGAAAGTGGCTGTGTAGAAATCAGTATTGCAGTGTTTGACTAATGAGAAGTATTTGGTAAAGAGATTTGTAAGGCAAAGACCTGGCCACAAATGAAAAATGTATTGTACTTGGTGTAGTGATGAATTAGTAAAAGGCATCAGTTGGAGAGGTAATATATAAAATTGAATAGGGCTATTTTGTGTATGTTTTCATTGGATTAAAACAACAAGAACGACTTAGCCATACTTGTTAAGATAATAGATCTCAATTACTTAAAGAGACATGTACCGTATTTTTTGCACTATTGGGCGCACTTAAAAGCCTTTAATTTCATCAGAAAACGACTGCGTGCCTTATAATCCAGAGCGCCTTATATTAATTTATTCAGGAGACTTGGTACGACTTTAGTAAACTACAAAGCCGCAACACTTGCAGCATTACGGCTCCTGTAGTCATGAGCATTGCGGATAATACATCCTGTGATTCCTTTTAATATCAAAATGCCACAAGAGACACGCTTACAACACCGACTTTAAACTTAAGGCTGTTATAAAGTTAAAGTGCGAGCTGTGTGGGAGCAGTGGAGGAGAGAAGGTGAACACACATTCACCAAAACAGGGAGACAGCGCCGAGCGACTTATGCCACGATCTGCCAATGGATCGTGGACGCCTGGGCTAAGGATCAGTATCAACTGTGGTCCGAGCTTTCACCAAGACCAGAATCATCACTGAACTGCCAGGGAACAGTAACCACACTGACTGAACAAAGTTGAGAGTTATTGTAAATGCATTAAATAAAGTTTGACTGACTTATCTAACTGTTGTGTTTTGTTTAATGCACCTTAAAGTAAGGTGTGGTTTATATGTGAAAAAAGTTTGAAAATAGACCATTCAATATTGTGGAAAATACAGTATGTTATTGTTTTACCTAGAATGTTTCACCATATGGCATTAACCATATGTATCTCCAGGGAGACAAGCAGATGGCATAATTAGGCCAAGATAAAGGTCAGATCTGAGTCACCTCGCTCACAGTAAATATGTCTGTTTACAAGGATTTCTTCTTTTTACTTGGGAAAAAATACATTACAGAACAATATGATTCTGTGGAACATTCCAATAACATCGCCATGGAGACAAGCAGGTGGCAGACCCTCCACCAGAAAAGTTACACAGTGTATCTTTAGTAAGACTGAAAGCAGAGGACAATAACAACACAACTGCTAATACTCTCTTTTAGTCCTTAACTGCCCTTGTCATTTCAGTATGCATTTACTTTTCTTTTGTACAAGGCCTATTGAAACCTAGTTCAGATCACTCCCTTTCAAACTGATTTAGAGTACCGTATAAGTTGCACTTTTTTCATGGTTTGGGTGGTCCTGCGACTTACACTCTGGTAAAACTTAATAATTGTAAGCAGCAGAAAGAAAGTTCTGAGTGAGTGAGACACTTGTGACAACAGCGAGGATGCACCATGCAGCTTTCCAGGAAGTCACTGGATGGATCGACAAAGCCTGGACTTCAGTAACAACCAAAACAATCCTGTCGGGATTCAGAAAGGCTGGAATAATTGAGTAATGATGCTGAGTCTGACGACAGCTACGCAGAAGAGGAAGCAGTGTTTATCTCTGGAGGTCACAGAGTTGCTCAAAAATGAAACCGAGGATGAAGAATTCAGTGGATTTAGGGATTTGAAGTGAGATGCAGAGTTTGGTAAACTTGTTCTGTTCTGTTGTTTAGACTATAGATATCTGAAGAACTGTTCATATGTGATGTTAAGAGCCTGTTGTTCCCTGTTCTGTTGTTATTATCACTATCGCTTGCCTTTCAAGATAAAATGTCGGTTCCTGTTCTCTGATTTTATCAAATAAATTTCCCTGAAAAAGTGCAACTTATAGTCCGGTCAACTTATATATGTTTTTTTCTTCTTCATTATGCATTTTTGGCTGGTGTGACTTATACTCCGGCTCAATGGTCTGAAAAATACGGTAAGTAATGCATATAGTCATCAGAATATTGTTTGTAAAAGACAACAAAAGAAGTAAATATGTTGTATCTTTGAATAGACAGAGGAGGAATTAAACAATACTTAAAGAAAAACTAAACTAGTAATTGTCACTTTGTTGTGACTTTGGTTTGATTAGAATCAGATCTCCCACAGCTCACCTGAAACACAGTGACAATGGCCCACAGCAGAGAGTCGAAGTTCTTGCGATCAGGTATGGTGTCCCCGTTGTCTGTCCTCTGGCCAAATTTGCACCCAAACAGATGCATCCCCAGAATACTAGAATAAGAGAGAAAAAAGAGCACATTTAGGATAATGTCTAATGTTTTCACAATACTAAACTTTTAAACCTTGATTTTGATAATGATATGCGCTTAATTATCATCTAGTTTAGTTGATATTTACAGGTTGTGTTCATCACAACATTTTAAAATGCCTAGAATTTAAAACTGAGCTGGAACGCTGGCAAATATCTCTGTAATTACTGGGCCTATCCACAAGAAACAAAAACACACGCACTATTTCTAATTGTTCTAACCGTTTTTGAAATAAATAATGGCTACTGCTCTCCATCTGAAATTCTGAGGACTTTTACCTATTCAAAGTAGATAGATTAGATTAGTATCTATGTATAATTTTTTAAACAGTCCTAATTCCTTGTGGAGCTGGCAGAAGTCACCTGAACGTGAAGATGAAGAGCATGAGGAGCATGCAGAAGGTGGCCACGTTGTCCATGGTCTTCATGAGGACCACCAGCTGTCTCCTCAGAGCGGGCAAGAACCGAACCAGCTTCAACACGCGCAGAAGTCTGAAGGTCCTGAGCACGGAGAGTCCACCGTCTGACTGACCGATGATCTCCCATACACTAGGGGGCAGAAGAGAGTCAACATCACATTTAACTTTTCTAGTGCTGGATTTGTCTTTTGGTGTTGTTCTTGGCCTTAAGACCAGGCCAGACCAGGACTGAGACCGGTTTAAACATGGTTTAGACTTGTTTTAGTCCTGGGTTAGTCCTGTTTTAGTCCGTACGTGGAGCAAAAGTCTGTAAATGGGAAACAGCTGTTATTCATTTTTTCCAACACAAAATCAAAAAATGAAAAAACAAATCGTTATCCTTTTTTTTCATTTTGGTTTTGGAGACAAATAATGAAGAAAATAGTTGTTTTTTCATTTTCTTATTTTTGGTTTTACATTGAAAAATGAACAAAATGAATGTTACACAGATTTTTTTGCATTGAATGGACTTGCTAAACAGGATTCAAAAGTCCAAAGTTATATTAATTATTCAACATGACCTTTACAAGCATGTTTCCCACATTTTAGAGCCTCAACAAAATGCTAACAAGAATTAGAATACTAACAACACACCAGCCAGTTTATAAAAACAGATAAGTACCACTTAAAAAAAAAAAAAAAGTAATCGTAAGCTTCCTGTTTACTCTTTGTATAGCAACGTTTTCAAAAGTCAAATGCATTTTGCCGCTATCACTTACCTGAAGAAGAAAACTACTTTTTGGCACTTTTTCCAAACGGAGATATCTGCTTTTGCAATTGAACTCTTCAAATATTTCAAGAATCTCCCTTCACTCCATACATCTGATAGACAGGATAGCTTTTGCTGACAGATGGTGAGACAGTGCACCCAGACTTGTGCAAACTAATGAGTGACAACTGCAGGAGAAATGTAGAATATGAATGAGTCTGGCCGTGTTAAGCTGTGTCAGTGTCAGTGCAGGCAGGGAGCACTTCAGGTGTCAATTGTAGCAAAACAGCTTGCAATATTTATGTATTTCTATGGAGCCTGTTTTGTGCTGTCACATTGTACTGTTGCCTATAATTAATCAGTCAATATCAGTGGAATATGTGTGTTTAAAGAGCTTATATTACACTGTTTTCTGATCTATGTCATAATGTTGATTCCTCATCAAAAACAAACCTGGAGTTGTTTTGTTTCATTCACACATTTGAGTAAACCTGCATTATAAGTCTGTCTACATCTCCACAGCTCAAAATGCTCTGTTCCACCTTGTGTTGTCACTTAATGGTAATTTTCAAGTTAACAGCTACGTTTTATTTTTAGTTCAGTCAAGATTGGCAATTCCAGGGTTGAAATTATCCAAATGATTCTAGTGAAGGTGGATGGAGTTTAAAAGCACAGTGGAGCACTTCCCGTATTACCACATGACATCACAAAGTGGAACAGTTTAATGTTTGAGACTATGTTTGAATCACTGTATCACCGTATCGGAAACGATCCGCACCCACACACGTCAGTTCTGTGTTTGCAAGGCTTCCCTATCCACACAGCTTTGAGCATATGTGTTTACGTTTTACATAAACGAAACTTAAAACCACATGGCTAATTTGTATAAACTAAGCACTCAAAAAACAGCTCACTTTTGTGCGCTGATGCGGTTCAGCTTCTGTTGGACTAAAGGACTCGACTCAGTGGATTTTAAGTGTTCTTTCTGTGGTGTTCTGCTGATGGTGAGTCTGTTCTGTGCTTCTATCGTGTTGGAGATGGTTCATGTTAAACTTTTCAGAGATTATATGTCTGCAGGTCATATGCACAGACCGTATATGTGAATGGACATATAAATTCTAGCCTCTTAGCGTTTTAGCGGTAAATTACTTCGCGGTGCATAGACCTACATCAACGTATCAGTGTTTTCAGGCGTCCACACAGTGCCGGATCAGATCTGTACTCAAATTAATTCGTGGGAGCTGGCGGCACCAGATCGTTCCATCTCTGGAGCAGTTTTCCTTCGGATTAGTGTGGACGAACACTGCAACTGCAACAAAAACGACTCGAATACTAGTGAGGGCAGGGCCTGAGAGAAGCCTAAATATGCATGATTTGTGAGCTAAAAATGTGTGAATGAAACAAAATACAACTCCAGGTCTGTTTTTGATGAGGAAACATTATAACATTCACACATGTTTAACACAAAACCTGCACATTCAGAGCTCTTCTATTAAACAGAAAACACTGTGTCCCACCTTGTGATGTCATGTGGTAATACAGGAAGTGCCCCACTGTGTTTTTAAATTCCATACATCTTCATTAGATCAATTTTTTTCCTTCAAGCTAAAGATATCTTGAGAGAAGTCAAGAACAATGTGTGTATTCGTAGACCTGTCATCATAATTACTATATTTTCTCAGTATATGGCAGCTGCCCTATTAATAAAAATGTAAATTGGCTAGAAAACCTTTATACCGTCGTGTTTACCTGATGATGACGATGATGCTGTCGAAGATGTTGTATGGATTCTTGATGTAGCCGAAGAGCCCAAAGGCGAGCAGCATGAAGCCCATCTCCAGAACAAACATACTGGTGAACACGATGTTACTGATCTCCAGCACGTCTGTCAGCTCCTCCGGCTAGAAACACACAAAAGAAACACTACAGGTAAGACAAGAGGCTCAGATACTATCAGATCAGTACTAAAACTAGAATCGAAACTACATACTTATTTGAGCAAGTGTCAATACTAAAAATAGTCACATTTACAGGACAGAACCTTTCCTGAATAGCTTTACAATGATCTTGAGCTGGATCAGAACAAGTATAAGTATATGTAACCTACCTAGACAACTGAGGGATTACACAGATATAAGGCCACATGATAATATAAAAGAAAGGACTTATTATCCAGTGCTGAAAATTACATTCTATTGTCTAAATAGAGAGTGTTTTTTATTATCATCGTGGTATCGGAAATTAGTTTGAAGTTTTAGTGACCACACCAACAGAAATGATACATATCGCACCACTGCACCTTCAGTGTTTTAACTTGTGGGCTGAGTTTTGGACAGAATCGTAGAGCTAACCACAAGGAAGGTTCAAATACAGGGGGGGACAGAATTTTTGGTCCCGCTGCCGCCCAGAATTGTAATTTTCATTTCCGCTCCTACCCGTATCTGCGATATTTTGTCCCGCTTCCGCCCGCAAATCCCGCAAGATGGGGACGTTCACTTTCTTAAGCTCTACCAAACACGGAGAAGTGGAAAGGAATTGTCTAAAATTTGCGTGAGATTAGACCAGATCTGCAAATTTAGGCTGCTTATGTTTGTATATTTTACTTTACACTCATATTTAGTTTGTTATATCACCTGACCCACCCGCTCCCACATTGTGCAGTCCTGCTCCCACCCGCACTCGCAATGAGCTTCCAAAATGTGTCCCGTGCCACACTGTTTTGCGTTGGGTCCCGCGGGTAGGGCTCTCTACTACTATCTAGATCGCTAGATTACACATACATGCAAGGATGACATCTAAAACCTTTTCAAGCACGTTTTTGATGAGGGAACGCTATAACATGGTAGAAATCTCCAAAAAGTCAATTTTGCATAACACCCTCTCTTTAAGATTGTTATTTTTGCAGATGTAACTGTTTACATGACACTTCCGTAATCTGGTAACACCAGAAATCTGACAACGATCAGATTTTGATGTAGGAAGATAATGATATTCTAATTTCCCATATCTCCAAAACAACAATTGCACCATTATCTGGCTGACAACACATCGCAAACCAAACACTGTTTACATCTCCACTGTATTAAGCACTTGTCCCAGCCTGTTTGCTCTGCCAGCCCTGGAGCTAAGACTCAATCAATCAAGTATGGAGCGACAGCCAGGCTCAATCACTCGCAAAGCCCCAGCAGCAGTCATCCATCAGGGGCCCGATCTACTCCACTTACCCCGGCGATGCAGCCAGTGACCCGGCTGACGTTTAAATGCGGCCCCCTCGTATAAGCACGTGCCTGGTTCATTATAACAGAGACGCAGTTTTGTACTTTAGTAAATGAGAGCTATTCAAATAAGTTCAGGTCATGAAGTAGTGTTTTGAAGTAAGTCTGGGTTTAGAAAAGAGCAGGTAGGTGTTGGGGAATTCTGTGGAGGAGTTAGCTAACTATTTTGTCCTGGTTTATGATTAATATTGTTGTAATTCCTGGACATATTCACATTTACCAGCAGTGTCTTTGTTGTCAGCACTAATGAGCTAAGGCATTTTTATTATTATTGTTATTATTATTGCTATTGTTATTGTTATTATTGCATTTATATTTATTTATTTGATTCATTTACGTATTTATTTTGGACAAGTAAGAAATTTACATTCTTTTACATTAGAAGATATAACATTAATGAAATCATAGCAGAAACAACAACAAAAAAATAAAAAAAGATATTATTATTATTATTATTATTATTATTATTAATAGTAGTAGTAGTAGTAGTAGTAGTATTAGTATTAGTATTTTTTTTAATATTCTTTTTCTTTATTTTTTATCTGACTTTTTAAAAATGATTATTTATTATTATTTTTATTATTATTATTATATTATTATTATTATTATTATTATTATTATTATTTTATTTTTTTTTTATCAATTTTGCTATTTTGGACCCAATCCTTATCACAAATTATAAAATTAAATATTTTCAAATTTTCAGTTTGGATATTTCTTCCAAAATCAGTGAACTGCCCATTTCAAATTTTTACTTTTTTACTTTTTTGATTGCCAAAGTCACTCATAAAATATAATTCTACAGTGCCAAGACTATATAATATTTATCCAATGTTTACTTCTCAAACTAATTAATCATTAGCAGCCTCAGAATTAATAAAACTGAATAAATCTGTAATGTATTTTGACAATACAATGCACAAATTAAAATTATGTTGTTATCATTTTTAACATGCTTGGTTGTCAGTTTATTATTCTTGCAGAATATTTAGTACAGGAGACATTTAGGATTATAAATTGTGATAAAGTGCCTCACCAAAGCCTTATAGGATTTTACAGGAACTGACAAATACCGTAATTCCACTGACTGCTAGAGGGCGCCATAGTACATTGCACGGATTAACTTCACCTGATCCCACCTGCCAAAATGACAAGACGAGCAAGACCAAGACACACTCATCACACTCACACTTAGAAACATTACCACGAGTTCAAATCTATGTATCTATCTCCATTTCAACACGCTCTCCAAAACATGATCACATGACTTAAACCCAATCTCTCTGACTATTGTGTATCATGTGTTTGAGTCTGGCAATTGTCACTGCTGCTGCTTGTGTTTATTTTGATTGGAGACTCATCCTTTGCAGTTCTCATTACCAGTGCTCCCAAGATGTCTGCCGCAGCCAATCACGTGTCTAAGTGCGCAAATTACAGCCCTCGGCGGACTTGATTACCTCTTAAACCGATACAATGGAGTCTATATATGATGACACATGAGGGGGAAGCCGGCAGTGCAATGCAATCTGAGAAGCAAAACAGATTGGGTTAATGTGATGTTGGAGGGTTTGTAGTGCTTATGACACAAGGCAAAAAAGAAGACATGCAAGGTTAGCGGTTTTAAGGGAGATTTAAGCGCATGTGACAGGTTTTCATGTTTTTCTAATTGTGCCTTGGTTTGGGATGGATAGTGAGCTTATCTGTGGGACATATTTACTGTAGTTTTACATCAGTCAAGCAGCAGTTTGTGAAGAAAAGTTAAAAGAAAAAGTTTGAAAATGACCAGAAGTAGAGTAGAGTTCTAAAAAGAAATCTCACTATTTACATCATCAAAACAATCAAAACAATTCCATCCAAAATACAGTTTAAGCATTAATTAAGAAAATAAACGTGTTTCAATTGTCAAATAATAACTATGGTGTAAATTAGACAAACTTTGGCACTTGTTTACAGTACGGTTGTGCAGTTACCTCTACGTACGTCATATCTGCTGCTCATGTCAAACCAGGAAGTCAAATTATAAACATGGCCAAAATTGTCAAACTAGAGAAAACTTTGAGAAAAATCTTCAACTTAATTCTGTTAATTATAATATATTGAACAGAGCACTTTGAGCTTTGATGGCATAATAACATTATAACTTGGCTAAAAACTTTTTGCATAATATAGGACCTTTAATATGATTATATTTAAGCTTTTACAAAAAATCTTGCCTAGCTTTTATTTTTCTATTTATGTTTTGTTTTGTTGCTTCCTGGTTGGAGATGGGCAGAGGTAATTTCACACAGTTACCTGGCAACCATAACGTAAACAAGGACAAAAACCTGTCTAAATTGTTATGTAAATATTAGGGGTGTAACGATATCCAAGTCTCATGATACGATATCGTCATGGCACGATATTTATTGCGATATCGTGGGAAAGCACACGATATGGTGGGGAGGCTCACGATTAGAGGTGTAACTATATCTAAAGCTCTCGGTACGATATTTTCACAATATACATCTCACGGTACGATATTTATTGAGATATTTTGTGGAGGCTAACAAAACTGTTAATATGCTTTTTTTCCTCTTAAAATGCCTTGACCAGACTTAATCCAAAGAACTAAGACTTAAAAGTGCTTAGAACTGTTATTTCTTCTTGTAGTCTGCACTGAAATGGAGCAAAGGATCATGGTCTATGTAGTTCCCTCTGTCTGTTATTTTAGTTATTGCTGCACCATAACTCTTAATTTAAGCAAAGACACTTGTAATTTGATATATTGTGATGGTCCACGATTTTATTTTGAGAACTTTGATGATACGAGATCACGATATTTTGGTTATTGTTATAGTTATGATTGGAATAATACAAAATAAGTGATAACAACTCGATTTTGTGAAATGAAAATTTAAACTGTCATGAAAATCTGTTCCTTGTGAGTAAATTTCACTACATTTTGGATGGAACTTTTAGTGTTGATGACATACTGTAGTTCTAAAATCACTACAACTTCCTGTATTTTTGTACTTTTTTTTTTTTTTTCCCAACAAACTGCAACTTTACTGCTACAAAACCATGAGAAACATTTACCACAGCTAATATCCTGATAAACCAAGTCATAATTAGAAAAAAACTATCAAAACCTGTCACTTCAAGTTGGATGAAAATGAGTTCATGTGGCCTGACTGTGTGTTCCTAGTGCTTTTCTTTTGATAGTTTTTCACATAAAATCATGAAAGGCTCCGGAGCAGCTCTCAGCCACTTATTCTGTCCAGTGCTACACCCATGCTTATATTTAACTGTGGCGTTTTCATTGCCGTTTGTGGCCCGCTCAGTTAACAGCGCAGGCACTGAAGCTAAACAATGGGGGTTTATTATATCAGCTGTATAGTGCTGAGAGGGCTTTGTACGGGCTTTCTGGAACTGAACTTTAATTCACTGCTTCATCTGCAGTCGTAGAAGTAGAAGTACTTACATTTACTAAAGTAATTGCACTTTTGAGAGCAGCTTTCAGACACTGTACATAAGCTTGTACTTCAATAATATTTTCTACTAAGAGTAATGAAAAGGTTATTGTTAAAGGTCTTATATTATGTTATTTTCTGTTGTTTTCTCATCACAAACAGACCTGGAGTTGTGTT